CCCCCCCTCCTGGCTTAATCCTAGAATCCCCTTGCTAGAGTCGTGTTCTAATTGTTTTGCTTTTTGGGACAGCCAGTATATGTTCTGCATTGATTTACAAAAATTATCCAAATTTTGAGACGCCTATAAAATTAATTTAAAACAAGATATTAATTGCAGTATACATAAAGAGTTTGAAGCCAAAAAGATTAACAATTCTGTAAGTATTCACTTTACAAAGTCCTAATTTTACATTTTATTGTTTGATGAAATAATGATTTTAATTCACCTATAGCAAATACACACGTTTAAAGTTAATTTACAACTTTATAAAACAAAGAAATTGAAATGGATACGTCTAGGGACTATGCTGTATTAATGTGATGCACTGTGTATAATTTGTGAACATTTACATGATTTGTACACTTTGAACTCCCTTTCAGGCTGAAAGGGTCTGACAAAATTCATACCGAGGGATTGTTTAAATTCCACTCTAATATAATCTATATTCTTTTCTCTTTGCCTATAAGTCAAATGCCTTATTGTAGTCCAAACTTGAAAAAAAACATTTATTGGTCAATAAATTGGAAATTTAATAAAGTAACAAAAAATACATACTTTACATATATACTGATATTGTTAAAGCGTCCTACTTGAGAAGTTTGACACCGAGCTTTCTTGAGCATCTTTGGATGTTTCTAGTTGACGTTTTGCTCATGGTCAGAAACCTCTCTGGAGTACGTTTCATTCCACTGCAGTGTACTCATTCTTAATATTGCCTTCTAAATAATGATCCAATTCTTCTAAATGAAAATTAATTGTATTCACTTTCCCCAAACCTCATAGGTTTCTTTCATCACAAAAATGGTCTAAGATCATATCAATGATAACTATCCTACTATCTTACAATGCTACAACTATTATCAACCTAATCTGCCCAATTTCCATCCAAAAAATATTTGTATATTCCATTTGTATTACTTTATATAAGGTTGGTAAGCTTTCTTATTTTTCTATAGAGTGTTCATCTATGTAATAAAGCTCTTTACTTATATACATACATATGTTAGCTATAGCTGGCCGAACGGCTGAACCAAATTGGCTGCTATTTTTTGATGAGTGCCTGGGTGTTAAAATAGGCAAAAAAATAAATGTAAATGTTTTTCTCCAAAATTAGATCTTTTAAAATTCCACAGGCAACTCCATGCACCTCAGCTAGTTATTTAAACAAATCATGTTCGTTCTGTTCTTACTAGCAACTCACAGCTTTAAATACTGAGCAATTAGAAATGTGAATATATTTATAGTCAAACACATAGAATATACAATAAAATAGAATATATAAAATAAGTGCAAATCTAAATTTTAAAGGTATGTACTTTCTGATAATAAAGGCTGTAGTGACCTTGTTTCTTACAATACTAGAGACCTTAACTTTTTCACAACATAGGAATAGACAACAACAAAAATTAAGCATTAATTGTCCTCATCTGCCATTTTGAACTGGATAAGAACAATAAGGTATCCAAGCATAGTACTAAATGCAGAAATCATGCTTGACTTGCTGATTGTAAAGAATCCTAGAGCTGTTAGCTCTGATTCTTGTTTGCCTACAGACCATCTCCACTTGAGTTCTTCTTTCAAATCAGGGTCCAAACATTCATTAGCAGCAATTCTAGAGATTTGTGAATAATTATCATGATTATTTAAGATTTATGATTTAAGTACCTCAAAACATCATTTGCATTTTGTTGTTCTTCAAAGCATTCTTGACTTATTGATGTAATATTCCAAATAATAAAAACATTACTTATAGTATCCGCAACTTTTGTAATCGCAAAATCATTCACAAAAGCATAGCTGCAGTTCATGATCATAAGCAAAGATGTTGTATAGTGAAATAACAAACTGGGTCCTAAACCTCTCTTCAGGTCAACATAAGCATTAGAGACACTTTCAGATTCTTTCAGGAGAGTTTTAGTATCAGTCAATAAACTTAGGTTTTTACATTTCTTGACAAAATTAGATGTGAATACATTCATGAGAAAAAGGTTGGATAATAACTTCAAGGGAACAAAGAAGTAGTACACAGGAACTAGGAATTTATTCAATCCTTCCATAATGTAGATCACCACGATACAAACTCCTATACTGTAAACAAGGAACAAGGTAAGCTGGAGTTTTCTTGATGGGAGCTCCAACAACGGGATTGATCCACATTGTTCAACTAAATATGCTCCACATACTTTAAGAATCCAGTAATTAAGTAATGCTGTTATGGACCCTAGTTGAATAAACGCCAGTTTGGAAAAATATTTAAAATCAGCTTTGGATGGAATACCATTTTCATAATCTTGATACATCATGTACGCCTCATTCACTGAAGGCAAAACACACCACAATAAGCAACTGCAGAAAAATCTCCAGGATTTGATTTTCAGCTTATATTTTCCATTGTTCAACAGGCTAACAGGAACTAAGAGAATGTTTGCCATAAATTTGAACATTTTTCCAGCATGAGTTTCCTTTACAGAAATTTCTGCTGGCGAAGCATTGTTTTCCTGGGATACTTTCATTTTAATTTTATGATAACAATTTATATCTTGATACCCTTCTAGTTTAAGACTGAAACATCTACTTTCTTTCAGTATTGTCAGTTGGAACTAACCGCCCTGGCCATTGTGCAAACTCTCTGAGTAAGAATGGGTGGTTGAAAAAAAAACTGTTAGTCTGACAAATTTAATACTTGATGATAAATAAATTTTTTATTATTACATTGAAATAAGGATTAATAAAAAATACATTTTTAATTATTAAATTATAGAAGTTTTTTAATCTTATTTGGTATGGATTTTCTTTAATGAAACCTCCTTTTGTAAACAAAGAAACCTTTACGTAAAACTTTCGGTAAACTAAGTACTGCAATGAACTTTTTTACTTTAATAATTTATTTTAATTAAATTTTACAATATTTTTAAATTTCAATATGATATCAGATGAAACATTTTGACACTTCTATATTTCTTGTTTTTCATTCTTTCTTCTTGATCGTCCATTCCTTGTCCATCCTACAATCATATTTAGGCTAATTTTGAAAATAAAAATAAATGAATTTTTTGGATGTTTTCTGCAGCTAGCCAAATTTTTTCAATATTCTTTCTTGTTTGTTTTTAAATTTTGTTTCAGTCATGTTACTGAGTAAGCTCCTGCATTCTTAACATTCATAATGCATATTCAATAAAATTTTCTTGATGGAGGGGAAAGGGTGAGGGGGGCGTTGCGTTTTACACATTTTCCGGTTTTTTATCTCAAGTAGGACATAGAGGGGGGGATGGGATCTCTGCCATCCTGTTTATTTGTTTTTTTTTCGCTATCAATGAAAAAAATAGATAGTGTAAAGATCAAATCCCCTTCTAATTTTACCTGTTCAAAGTTTTCTTCTTCTTTCTTGTTTATCTTACTTTAAGCACCTATCTCTACTGTCAAGAGATTTCCCTTCCACTTTTTTCTGTCCAATTTCTTTTTTTTTCTTGCTTCTTGTTTCTGTTTTGTACACTTTATGGCCTTTCCAAATAATTCTTTTAACATCGAGTTGTGGAGCAGGTAGGAGAGAGATAAGGAGGTTTGTAGGAAGAAGGGTATAGGGGATTTTTCCCTGTGTTCCTTTCTTTTATACTGTTTCCCAGTTAGGGGAATTAAGGAATTTACCCATAACTGCACCCCTTATGCAAAATGGGAAGTTGTGATCCCTGAAAGCTCTCTTGAGAGGTATCTTCCATGACAGTCCAGTCCTCACATCTGGTCGAGTAAAAAACCGGTATCATTGTGCATGGCTTGTATTCCCACGAGGGGTTAAACTCCTCTTTCAGTGCACCAAGCTGAAGATGAAGTTTTGTTTTCAGCTTCCCCTGTAGGATACAAGATGCATAACTAAACTCAGCACTTCCCCAGCTGTAATTCTGGGACTACTAAATAGTAGGTCCATCCTGCATGAGAAAAGCAGGCAACGTTACTACAATGAACTAAAAAAGTGTGATCAAATTAATATTTACTTAAAGTCACAGGGACTTTAAGTGAATATTAATTTAATTTCTTTCTTGCATTTCTTGACAAAACAATTTACAGTTTTACACCCCCTCCTTGCTCGCAAGTTTCACTTGGTGCTCCCCATCCCAGTTTTATTGAGAGTTTTAGCCTCCCTTTTCAAATAAATGGATCTGCTCCTAGGAAATATCATGTGTAAAATATATGAGATATCACAGGAAGAACTTTATGTTTCATTTTAAATTTAGTTGCTAAATCTTTTAGAAACTATATAAGCATATAAAATTTAAATACTTTCAAATTGAAGTTTCATAAATAGGCGTAATTTTTAAAACATTTTGCGAAATTACTCTTGTAGAAATTAAGCGAACTTTAGGTGTAATTTTGCAAAATTGAAGTTTCGCTAATTATGCGTAATTATTACAAATTTTGCAAAATTACCTTGTAGAAATAACGCTAAATATAATGGCATAATTTCGCGAAATAAAAATTTTGCTAATTACGCATAATCATTACAAAATTTCGCGAAATTACATTGTAAAAATTAAGCAAAATTACATGAAATGAAAATTATTTCGCAGAACTGCACGCAATTTCGCGTAAGTGATCTGTTACGTTGGACACCTTAACTTAAAATACCACAATGTGAATATTGATCATTTAAAGTTTACATGTTCAAGATGTTTAATGTAAAATATATGAACTAAAATGATTAGTTTTTAAACATTTTGTAATGATTATATATTTTTAAATAGCATTTTTTATATATATTTATATATCAGAAATCAGCTATATATCCCCCCCCCCTTTCCCGGGATTTTTATGAATGTAATTTAAGTAGGTGGGAAAAAATAATTTTTCCATTTAAAACTCTTGTGTAATCTCGTAAAATAAACTCGAGTATTCACCATTTAAAAACTAAAAACTCGGTCCTAGAACTGGCATATGTGATCAAAATCGTTTACATTACCCTTGTTATAGGGTTTCCAGCGAAAAGAAAAAATTGTTTTCCGAAAAATGCGAAATTTACCCGAAACGGTTTTTCACAACCATTTCCCTTCATTTTTGCATTTGGTTTCAATATGTTTTGCAAAAAAGTGCGAAATTATCGCGAAATAGAAAATGCAAAAATTTCGCGAAAAAAATGCGATAGTTGGGCGAAAAAATAATGCTAAAATTTCGCAAAAAAAATAATGCGAAAATATCGCGAAAAAATAATGCGAAAATTTCGCGAAAAATGCGAACATTTTTCAAAATCAAGGAAAATTACATAGAAAGAACGAAAATTTCGCGAAAAATTACAGAATTTTTAAAAACAAATGCAAAATTTAAGAGGAAAAGTTGCGAAAATTCATTTATAATTAAAAGACTAAATTGTGAGAATACGACTCATTTTTAAAGAGGCCGATTGATCCGCGACTGAGATAATTGATGGATTAACACAGATTAAGAACGTCTAGGAGACATCAGACAATTAGATTTGCTTAGGGGGTGGCGAATGTCGGCCCCCGCCACCCCCCTGTATCCTCTGTTTGCTTGAAAATGCTTTCTCGACCGAATTAAGATCTTTCTTCTTAAGGATAAAATAAAATTGGGAAGAACCAAAAGAATTTGGAGAATTTCTTTTTGAGCAAAAATGTTGGAGCTACACTCTTAAGCAGCTGTAAAACCACGTTAGAAGGTCGGATGTGTAGTATAGCGGATTTGGCGTAGGTCAGAAGTGGAGTATAGCGGTTTTGCGCAAGTCGAAAAATAAACCATCCTTTATTCATATTAAAAATTCCTGAGAACTAAGACGACATTCGAATTATTAACGGTGCAGTTCGGCGATTTTTAGTGGCCTTGGGCTGTAATTCTTAGGCGAGGCAAAACAGCACGTAATAAGGGCGGACCAGTACAAGAAAATCTTGGTGTCCAACCTTCAAAATTTGGAACCTCAAGAAGCCGTGCCGGGTGAACAAATCGACAGGGGTCTCCTGCCATCGACGTCGTGCCGGGTTCTAAAGTGTAAAGCTGACTAGGAATATGTAAGGCGTGCTGTGTCGGTATTTTCAGGTCATCCATGGCGTGTCGGGTCTTTATTCCCAGCGAAGTCAGTCAAACCGTGTCGGGCCAGAAAAATTGTCTTGAAGGCGTGCCGGGTCCATTAAGGCAAACAGGGTCAAAAACAGGTTTTGTCTAGTTTCCTAACTGAAGGGGACACTAGCCGCCATTGTTACAACCACGCTTAGAGAGACAGAATCTCAATTCTTCTCTAATCAATTTTTAATTTTATTTATTTGTAAGTATTTTCTATTTAGTTACGTTTTTTATTTTAAGTTTTTAGTGTTTTCCTTTGTTCGGGTTTTCTATTTCCTTAGTTAGTTATTTTTAAGTTTTTAAGAAAATGTACTTATCTTCAGATTTTAAAATCCTGATAAAAGGTCCTAAAAACAACTGAACGGGTAGGTTTATAATTAATGTAACATTATTATGATTTTTTTAGTGAAATTGGATTAATTGCAATTGAAACTGAAATTCCATTTTCAGTTTTAATTTTATCGGTTTCATAAGGTTGAATTCAAGAATTGCCCCGATAATAAAGATTTTAAATACTTGATTTTAAACTTTGAAAAGTTTAAAACCTCCATTTCAAATTAGAAAGATGTTTGTTATTTTATATTACGGGTCCGTCCAAGTATACAATTTTTGGACCCCCGCTCCCCCCTCCTAACAATTTAGTACATGACCACTTTTTCAACAATTTTCAATAAAATTAGTATTTATTATTAATTGAGTTAGGTTAAGTTAAGACACTTTCTGGGCCGACCGTTGCGGCTAGGACAGGCTTGGGGGCCGAGCACTGCNCCCTAAAAACATAACGGGGGGAGGGTGTGACAGTTTATTTCTCTGCTTAACAGCATTAACAATAATCTAGGATTATTTAGAAGTTGTTTCTTTTGACACAAGATTAAAATTGTAATTTAAGCGAATTCTATTTATGTTCAATGTTTTTTTCTGAAATTAAGTTAACCCACATGTGTAAAACAAATTCCCAGTTAGTCCAAATAAAACCCTTTAGGTAAGTTTTTCAAAAGTATTTTTAGCAGGAGTTCAATGGAAAAGTTTTTTGATACTATGTTGAAATTCTTTGCAATATATGATACGTTAATTCGTAGGTTTTCTTAATTTAACCACGAACCTGAATGGGCCCCATACCCCCTCCTAATAAACTTTTACACAAGTTATTTGGCAATTTCCTATAGTAAGCTTTTAGGACCAGCTCCGCCTCCCCCCCCCCCGGGGCCCCTCCTTTAATTTTGGACATGTTTCATATATGTAACACATGGATATAATTGGTCATGTGGCTGCAGCCCCTCGCCTGTTTTAGCCTCTGCGCTCGGCCCCCTAGCCGTAACGTTCGGCCCAGGAATTGCCTTAACCTAACCTAATTCTAAAATAGTACACAATAAATAATAACAACTTTGCTGAAAATTAGTTTGTCTTGTACAAAATCGATAGAAGTGGGGGGGGGGAAGTCCCTATTCCCCCAACCCCTAAAAACATAACGGGGGGAGGGTGTGACAGTTTATTTCTCTGCTTAACAGCATTAACAATAATCTAGGATTATTTAGAAGTTGTTTCTTTTGACACAAGATTAAAATCTTCACCAGAAATCCTATATACATGAAGACAAAAAAGTGTCTAATATATGATCAAATACACATTTTTACAGTTAGTTACCGGCTTTAATAGCTACATTTCTAACATATAGAGGGTGTGTAAAAAAAATTGGGATTAGTGACGTTAAATTTTAATGTTTGTTAGTTTGCTTCGAATTTAATGTTAAAATCCGCCTCACTAGTTATTATTGTGTTTAAATAAACCCGTAGCATTTAAAATTTGAATATTTGGTCTAAAACCTGGCTATATCCGTTTTTTTATCCACCCTGTATTTTCTCAACAATTTTCAGAATTCTTTTTTTTGTAGTTGTATGAGTCAAAAAGTCGAACTTCCGAGTCTTACTGGTCACCGCACCAAAACCCGAAAAAGGGATGAGAAGAAGGTATATTTATATTTTCCTTAATATGTTTTTTTTACAAATTGTCGCAGCTCGTATGCATAATAAGTAAAGGATATGTCAGGAAACATTGGAGTTTAGAGAATACATGAAAATCATCGGAGCGATGATTGTCAAAGATTGTGTAAAAAAAGATTTGTAACAATTTTGTTTTTAAATAATTAGAATCCTAAGAAGAAAGAACACTACAAAGCATTGTGTTCTTTGTTGCTATTTCATTATTCATTGCAACAAAGAACTTACGTTTCGTACAGAATTATGGTTAAAAAAAAAAAATGCTTCACACAGTACTTACAGTTTAGCAACAAATAACGTTTTATTTAAATCTACAATTTAGTAACAAATACGTTTTATTTAAATCTAAAATCTAGCCACAAATAAAAACGTTTTATTTAGATTTATGATCCAACTGGATTTAGGGATTTCCTCGTCGAGTCTCTCGAGTCTACAGGTGAATTGCAAGATTTTATCTAAGTACATAACAGGGTTTGCCACATAGTATTAGACTTCAGAAACGTATGTGCAGAATTTTAACTGGCTGTTTCCATATATTTATGATGTAACTAAACTTAATATTTTCCTTTTTTCTTATCATTAATTAAGCAATAAAAAGATCATAATCAAGATATAAGACTAAAACTAACTTTGTAATCGTTAAATTTAAAGAGTTTTCGGGCGTTTTTTTCTTGTCATATTCTTTGTAGTGTAACCGTGTAAATTATGAAATTATTGAACTTAAAGAAAAAATATCAGTTTTGCCTTAAAACTGATTTTTGTAAAATTCATATATATGTTAAAATAATATTTTCTGTAGTGAGTTCATTTATCAAATTTTTTCTATTTATTGACCTTGTGATATATAATTGTGTAACATTTGGTGGAAATAAGGCTGTCGTCATGTGACATAATTTAAGCGACATTAAAGATTTTCAATTCACACGTATTGAAATATTCAATTTTAAAAATTTATATTCCTCCATATGAGGGGTTGATTAAAAGTTCGGCCGAAGATCTTTCTCTCATTTTTTAAAAAAACCCATGAGAAAAAATTGAAATATTAAGTATTCAGTTTTTTTTATTAAATTCTTATAACCTACATAAAAATATGAAAGAGAAAAAATTTCAGTTATTTGCCTTTTGTCTGAATTTCTAATCGTCAGGTTCTGACCTTTCTTTGTTTGTAGGTTCTGACCTAGAAGCACTGTTTAAATTCCTGGATGCTGCCGGGAACAAGACTGATTACGATTACAGGTTTAATATTTACGAACAGAATCGGGGAGGGGGGGGGGGGGGATTAGTAATGTGAATTTGAACAAATATGATCTCTCACATCCATCATTTTGTTAAAAAATATTAAGCTATTTGCATTGATAGAAATTTCCATTCCATCGTATGATCAAATCGATACTGTTTTCCATGAATTTGTAATCTTAATTAGTTCGTCTATCTCAAGGATGTAATGCAAGGAAAGTTATTTCAGAAGTACACATCTTTTGTACTGCAGTGAACTGTCTCTGGGCGGTAGTGTAAACATTTAATGCTTTTAACCTCCTCGGATACTAAACGCACACTGATGCATCTATTCTTGTTTACAAATTCCGCCCCAAGGAGAACTGGTTTCAACGTGAACGCAGAATATACACGAACGCAATTAACTTTCCTTGCATTACACCCTTGGTCTATCTAAACCTCAACTCAAATCAAAGACGTTTATACGTTGCTGAGTTAAGATTTTTGGTATACCTTCACCTATAATGCTCTGCTGAACTCGAAGATTGTCATTTTTTGAATTAATATTGGGAAGAAATACTGAAATTAGTCTTTACTAGCGCGCGGTTATTTATATGATAAAACGCTCTGATTTTAATTCCAAAATAAAGAATTTATTTGATTATTCAGGCCATGTTTATTATGTATCCTTGCCATGTTAATTATGTATCCTTGCCATGTTTATTATGTTTCCTTGCCATGTTTATTATGTATCTTCCNTCATTTATATTTAATTTTAGGAGGTATGGTGAAGCCCTGCTTGAGATTCTCATTGCAGGGGGACTGCTAGGTAATTAATTAATAATTTTTTTTTTAATAATTTGATCTTTTTATTGAATATTAAGTGGGATCGATTTTTTTCATTCCCCTAAATTTGTTTGGAATAGGAATGACCTTACATTTAAAAGCAACATTAAAGAAGATTTTTGCAAACCAAAATTGCCTCAAGGATACCGGTTTTTTTACTTCAAAGCCGAAAATTTTACTGATGTAAGTGAAAAACCTCTGAACTCGTCAAGTTTGGGAATCAAAAGATTAATATTGAAGAATTAAAAAACTTTTCAATTATTTAAAAATCGGATACAATTTGAAACATCTGATAAGAAAAAACAGTCTTTAAAAAATCAGTTTTTTAGCTTTTGGAACACGAAATTAGACTAAATATCGAAATGAAAACATGTGAGCAATATTCAACGGCTTCTTGTGGATATTCAGAATATTTACTTGTGCCACTTCTGAAGCTATTCAACTTTTTTCTGAATTTATTAAATCCGGGTTCAACTATATTTTAAAAAATGACATTAATTAAAACTGATGATACTATCTTTTATGCGACAGTTAGTATTATAATTATGATAATTTGATTTGATTCAATCTTAAAATTAAAAATACAATGAATTTATCTATTCTAATAATGTTTTTGGTTTTATAGAAGAAAAAAATGATTAGTTTTACATACTCGGTTAAGAGTGTGAATTTCGGTCTTCTAAAATTAGTTATTTTTTCTAAAGATGGTTCTACGAAATTTGTCACGGTTAAGTTAAGACTGTATTAACATGGATGGATCTATATTTAATTATTTTCAATGTAAAGATCTAATTTATAACAATTGTATTTAAAATATTTAAATATTTTCTTATCAAACTGATAACATCAAAAAGATTTGTATTATTTCATTTCTGTATCTGTTTTCATCGATGAAAACTCTGGGGTTAAATATTCCATCTTTCTTTTATGATTCATTTCTTAATTTTAGCTCCTGGCGGTAGCATTGCTAAAGATGGAGACAAGTTGGTTTCCACAAATTTCTGCGTCTTTCAGGACGCGACCGACCTTGATCGGATCAAAGCTTGGGATCAGGTAAATATCTAGGGATCCTCCTTATCATAGTTTAGATCCATTTCTAACATTCTAATTTACAAACAATAAGTATTCTACTGCTTACTTAAATTTTTCTATGAAGGTGTTCATCAAGCTGATGCGTCGGTACAAGTACCTGGAGAAGATGCTCACTGACGAGATGAAGAAGATTCTCGTTTATCTTAGGGGATTCTCAGAGGTAATTCTCATGCGAAGGGGTGGTTTAGGATAAATTCCAGGGTAACGGGAATAATTGAATTTTTGGAATCTTTTCTTTAAAATCAAAATTAAAGATGCCTTCTCTCTTTTTTCTGCTCCTAATTTTCCCAAGGGGGGGGGGGCTTATCTCTGTTCCCCAACTTTCCGTAGTGGAAACGCCCCCCCCCCCCCACATAAACTGCCTCTGCTCACGCGTCATCATTCGTTGAACACGTAGGATTTTTGATAATTAAATAACTGAACAACTGAAGTGTTTTTTCAAGTATTCCTGCAATTACAAAGTGGTATGTTTCATTTCAACAGTCTTATTTTTCAACATTTCTAACCTTTAAAACCATTTTTACGTTTTTTAACATTTGAAAAACGCTGCTTTCTATAAAATGACTGAAGCGTTGTTTCAATTGGCTTTCGATTTTCTTTAGTGGCGTTTTTATCAACAAGAGCAATCAGAAAATCTTACATGTCAATTTTAACAAATATTACATAGTCATTGCAGCTTAAATCCGCTTAGTCACCGAGGAACCATATTTGAAAAGCAAATAAACTTCATTGCTCGATTAAAAATGGGTTGTGAATTGGTTATGCCACTTAAGGTCACTATAGGTCTTAATCCCCTTGAGCTCTTTCAAAGGCCTGGTGATTTTCAAAAAATGGCGGATGTAAATATTAATTATTGTTTTTAGGAGCACAGGAGCCGGCTAGCTCAGATAACCGCCCTCTGGGTTGTCTCTGGACTGATCGCTCCCAATACCCTTGCTGTCGTCATCAATGAGCATCAGGTCGGTTTGTTTGTTTGTGCGATCATAACTCTAAAGCCCCTAGACCGATTTGTTTCAAATTTTGATTAGGGAACTCGAGGGAATCGCGGGAATTTTCTTCACTTTGTTTTAAGATTTTTAAAATGAGTAGGTCGACTTTTATAGGAAAAATAGATAAAATCATCATTTTCAACCAAGTGCGGGTAAACGGCAAGAATAACTACATAACTATATATATAAATGAATATTCGTGTGTTTTTTTATCATTATTATACAATTTTCTCAGATCTGTACCTTTATTGTTTCAATAAAAAGTTTGAAAGAGAAAAGAATAACTACAGGGGTGTAAATCCCCCCCCCCCCTGAAGGGGAAAGAAATCAAAGATCCCATAGGAGGGGAAGGGAAGGGAAAGGGGAAATGAAAGGATAAGGGGAAGGGTGAGGAAAGGGAAGATAGGGAGAGGTAAGGGATTGAAGTGGATAGGTAGGGAAGGAGATATTTAGGGAAGAGGAAAAGTAGGGACGGGGAAGATTGAGAGGGAAAGAAGAATATAGGGAAGGGAAGTAGAAGGGGAAGGTAAGAGGAAGGTATGGTAGATAGGGAAGGGCAAGGTAGAGAATCGATGGAAGGTTGGCAGATATAGAAGTGAAGGAAAGGGGAATATAGGGAAGGGAAGGGCTGTAGCTCTTTACCTTAACATAACTACATAGTTCAAAACTTGATAAAAAATCGCGTTTTTCATGAATAATTTTCCCAAATAGTCGTAATGCAGCATATCAAAGTCTTAAAATTTTTCGCTCTTCGCGCACAACTATATAACAAACATGATAAAAGAATGCTCGACATTAATCAATAATTTTTCCAAATAGTCAAATATACTAAAAAGATTCATAAATTCTCCCCCAAGAAAAATTATGGGAAATAAATTCGAAGAATACTCCTGGACAGACAAAAAATCAATCCCGTCTTTTTTGCCATTGAAACCATATTATTACCTAAAATTAAAAAAAAATTGCACGCGACGCTATTTATGCTTTTTAAAATGCATCATTTAAGGGATTACTATGCACAACAATACAAATCTTAAATTATTTCTTCTTATTTATCGAATTGGGGGAAGTAAAACAAATGGAATTATATACATCCCTGATTAAGTAAGATATACCTGGGCAGCGCCGGGTCCCCAAGCTGTTATATCATATTCCAGGGGTGAAAAATTATGTCGATTTGATATAAAAAAAAACAGATTCCAGATTTCAAATTTGTCTTTTATCAGGTTAAGGACGGAATTGCTCTTAACTTCATCCTGGAGATTTTCGCTACAGTGAAGGCTGAAAAGGTGAATTGTACAAATTTCCTATAATTCTCTCAATTACAGTGTTCTTCTAGTTCAAGGGTAATTTATTCATTAAAATTAAAAAATAAACGCAAAATGAGATTTTTTAATCCATTTTCCTAAAAATTCTGAGGAAATCTATTAAAAAACATTCCATACAAACAGTGCTTAGGATCCATTTAATTTTGATGCGGATCTTGGATCCGTACTGGAAAAAAATGGATCCGGATCCAGGTCATTTCTTTAAGATTTACTGAATTTTTGTAGTGAAAAATAATTTTCAAATTTTTTGTTTTATGAGGAAATTTTTATAATCTCTATTTTGTCAAAAGTTCAGATTTGGGTTTTAGGAGTAAATAAGTTTTATTTGCAGTTTTTGGTCGATATTTTACCTCTTGGATGCGGATCCGTGGATCCGCATATTTTTGCGGATCAGGATCCTGAGCCCGCGATTTAAAAACTTCGGCTCGAGTCGTAATTCCTTAAACCCGACTTTAAGACCCAATCTTAGATTCAACTCTGACGACAGCTTGTGTCACGTGATTGACAGCTGCGAGATCTTAGGCTCGACTTAAGGAGTTAGGCCTAATGAAATAAAACCGACCTTGGTTGGTTTTAGTGGAGAATAAGGCTCAATGTTGGGTCTTATTCTCATCAAAACCCGGAATGCGCCAATTCCAACTATGAAAATCCGCCAAATACAAAATTAAACCGGTTTTATGAACTAAACTCTGTTGAATATTAGATGCAACTTAAATCCGAAAGCCCGAGCCGTAAATAAGGCTCAACAACAGCTAAGACCCGAGTCGTATTTTCTTGAATTTTTTAAATCGCCGGCTCAGAGCTCGCGATTTAAAAGCTTCAGCTCGAGTCTTAATTTCTTAAACGCAGCTTTAAGACCCAATCTTAGACCCAACTCTGACGACAGCTTGTGTCACGTGATTGACAGCTGCGAGATCTAAGGCTCGAACTTAAGGAGTTAGGCCCAATGAAAATAAAACCGACCTTGGTTGGTTTTAGTGAAGAATAAGGCTCAATGTTGGGTCTTATTCTCATTAAAACCCGGAATGCGCCAATTCCAACTATGAAAATCCGTCAAATACAGAATTAAACCGGTTTTACGAACTAAATTCTGTTGAAAAATAGATGCAACTTAAATCCGAAAGCCCGAGCCGTATATAAGGCTCAACAACAGCTTAGACCCGAGTCGTATTTTCTTGAACTTTTTAAATCGCCGGCTCAGGAAGCCAAAATCTAACGGACCCGGATCCTAAGCACTGCATACACATAAGTTTTCTTTATACATATTTTTAGTCATCCTCCACTGTTGTGACCCTGTTGAAGAGATCAGGATTAGAACTCAACCTGGAGCTCCTTTTCCCTCCCAACAAGAGAACTCCTGAGAATATCAAGAACAGTTTCTTGTCAGCTGATCTCCTAGATGTAGTCACTTACCTAGCGAACCAGGTAGAGATTGTATACATACACAGGGTTACTCACCTAGGATGAGACCTTAAAGACGACCAGAAACTTTTCAAATATGACTTACAAGGATCAATAAAGTATTTTGTCTTGAATATTGTCTTTTTTTGGCTTTTATTGGCTTATTTAATGACTTTGCAAGGATTAAAACCAGTTCAGTTGCAGAGAATCGTAAAAATTAGACAGTATAAATTATGTTCAATGGTCTCTGAAGTATCATCCATTGTTGGCAGCCCTGTATATATATGTACATTGAAACGGCTGAACGAATCTATTTTCTCTGAAAGAAAATTATCATAATTATGTTTTGTTTCGCCAAACAAGAACATCTTCATGTTTAAAATTTGATCTAAATGTTGTTACTCTTGTCTAGTATGAAATGATAAAACAAAATGAACGATAACGATGAATGATGGATGACAATAACAATGACAATATTTTCAGGAGAATGCTGGCGCTAAGAAGGATATTCAGCGTAGTTTAAGAACCAGTATCTCCGAGGGAAAACCTGTAAAGGAGATTATTGTAGAAATGAGGGAAAGTGTCAAGAAGAACGGTCTTCAGGTAATTAAAAAATCTCCTCTGTTTGACCTCTGTTTAGGAAGCTGAGGCTGTATCTATGATCTGGTCTGCTATTATGACCTCTAATGACCTCTGTTTAGGAAGCTGAGGCTGTATCTATGATCTGGTCTGCTGTTATGACTGCTGTTGAGTGGAATAAGAAAGAAGATCTGGTTCAGGTAATACTTGCTTCACTCGCGTCTATTAGTCATGCGTTATGAGCATGCCTAATATCTTGGAAGTTGAACTCATTTCATTAAAGGGTTGTGAAATCACTTATCTTGTTAAAGCATTTCAATCAACTAACCCTTTAGGGGTAAAAAATAGTCTTAAAAATCTTCATTTTTATCAAAATTATTTTTTTTCCTTGCTTAATTGAGGAAAATGAAAGATTATTAATGGAAAGTATAAAATTTATTGTTTTGGGGTCACTCGTTATGAACTCGACAAAGCTAATATAAGTGCCATTTTTTTATTTTTTTTTCTGTAAGATTAATTTTTGTAACTATTATTTTATTTTACTTACTGCATATGCTTAAAAATTAAATTCATATCTTCTTACCTCCCAATTTTTTATGAGGCCACCCTCCAATTTTCGCAACCAATAATTTGGAGATTTCATATAATGTTTATAATGTTTGTGCAAAGTTTTATTTTTGGCATTTACTTGCTAATTTCAGTACATTTTTTGAAAAAACAAAACAACTAAGTTGTCTCTTTTGTAAGAAAAGTTGTCTTTCTTGTTTGAAAACTTCCTCCATTTAATTTTGATACGGATCCGGATCCATTTAATTTTGATGTGGATCCGGATCCATTTAATTTTGATTCGGATCCGGATACATTTGATTTTGATGCGGATATGGAACGTTCTTTTTATGCTAAAAAGTTCAGATTTGAATTATGAGAGCAAAATATTTTGCCATTTTTGGTTGATATTTTGCCCCTTTGATCCGGATCTTCATATCCAAATGTGGCGGATCCGGAATCTAAGCCCTGTCAATTATTTGTTTTTAACATTTTTTAAATAAGCATTCTTGTCCTAGGATCAAGCCCTGAAGCATATTAAGCAGTTTATCCCTCTATTCGCTGCATTCACCACTTCTGCCAAATCTGAGATGGTCCTACTCAATAAGATTCAGGTAAGTCTTTCTCATTATACTCGTATTTTCGAAATATAAAAAACAGGGTTGTACACTGTACACTGTACAATTTACATATAAATCCAATTTTCTATTCCTAAAGGTTTGATATGTAGAGGTTTTGAGCTCCCTTTCCTTCGCTTCTTATTCTTCCAAATTTCCTTAGACTCCCCACTAAAGAATTACCCCATTCCCTTTTCTTCTTTCTCCTCCTTTACCTTTAACCTTTGCCTATTCCGCTCCTGTTTTCCTTTGCCCTTCCACCTGTTCTCTTCCCCTTCCCTTATTTTTGGGTCTGATTTCTTTAAAAAATTGTTAACAACCCTGAAAAAAATGGATGCAAAGTTTTTCTATTTTATTTTAAATTGACAAAAAATCTTCTAATTTTATCTTTCTGTTGAATCTACGTCTCCCATTGGAGTTAAATATTCGTTATTTTGACTTTTTCATTTAAAGGGTTTGTTCGTGCCAGGCTTAGACCTTAATCAAACATGAATAAATCCTCAGAATCTCGAGCAGAAATCTTCAAGTGACTTAAATTGAACGCACAGCTGAATATTAAGTGTGGATGAATATCTCTTGTATTTTTGTTCAAATGATACGTCGCTTGAAATTAAATGACCTTGTAAAATAATTATTTGAACGTTTGCGGCCCAATGACTTACAAATCTGAAAAAAAAATTAACTTCCCGACCCGCGTTAACGATAAGAGTTGAAAGGTTGCATCAACGGTATTCTTATGCGATTTTCTTTCAAGGATTTCTGTTATGACAACCAGAACTTCCTGAAGTGTTTCAACAAGATTGTTCTTCTTTTCTACAAAAGTAAGATTTTCTCTCATTACATTTCTCGTTTTATCCAAGTTTTTCGCTTCAAATTTGAATTATTTTTACCCCCTTAAATTATTATTTTATTTAATATTTATATTTTACATTTTTATTAAATATGTATTATAAAAGTGTGAAAGAAATATACAAAAAATGTGCTTTATTAATAAAGCTGACGCCAGAACTATTAGTTTATTTTTTATTCGTCTTTTAATTACCTAATCCGTTGTAAACAGCTGCCATAAATTATTTTAAAACAAATTTTACCTTTTTAGCCTTAAATAGACAAACATTTTTAGCTTTAGATTTTTAGAGTCTGTGGAGTCAGATTTGCATTTTAATTTCATGCTAATCAAACAATTTCGGCGATAAGAACGAAAAAGCACAATTTAGGTTTTAGAAAGAATTTTGATTGAAGGGAATCAGGCTCACAATTTCCTTTTTCTTTCAAAGTTCTAAAATGAATAGAGAAGCCAGAAACTAAAACATAATTTGTTCACTTTTCAGCCGAGGTTTTATCTGAGGAAGTGATCTTGAAGTGGTACAAGGACGGACACGCCCCCAAGGGGTGGACTGTCTTCATGGGACAGATGAAGAAGTTCATCGAGTGGTTGGAGCACGCTGAGTCAGGTAAAAATCGGACACTGGTCCCTTAAATATTTTTATATTTTCTAACCATAGTTTTTAGACGAAGACAATGATGAATGGTAATATGAAGAAAAAATGGAATAAATTGGAAGATACTTAAAAAAAGATGTTCCAGACAAATGGATTTATCATTTCCTTTAAGTTTTTAAAATAAATGAATTAATTCATTCCGGTCGTAAACCCTCAAATATAGGGATTTAGTTTATAAAGTTGACAATTATGGATGAAAAGTGTTTTTTGATAAAATTGAAATTAACGAATGAATAGTGGTTTAGTCGATAGGTGGATACTTGACAACTACCAATGAATAGTGGTTTTGATGTTAAAAATAATGAATGACTGGAACCCCGCGGTTATGTTAGGTATCAAGAATCAGCGAGTAGCTCTGAGTCTACCTGTCCTAGCCGCAGTTACAAGTTCAGCACAACATCCATGGATTCAAGTAATACAAAACAAGCTCGCCGGCATTAGCATTTTTAAGAAATTTATTTTTATTTTTTATTTTCCAAGTTTGATTTTACATCTAAATTTATTTTCGACGCAAAAATGTTGGTTCTTAGAATCTGTGGTTGGTTAAAGAAGCTGATAACTCACTTCAGCTCGCGGCCCAGTCTGTAGACCCTAACCTGAGTGAACCTGAAGCTCAAAACATTATCCCAGAGCTGATCCTACGAACCTGCGAATCTATTCTCAACCGAGGAAATATTATCAAGTTGCTCGGCTCGGGGTTTCAATATGGCATTCTTTTATGGTCTTAATTTAAAGTTAATTTTAGACATAATTGACTTTTAGCATAATTAAAGTTTCATATTTTGAAAGCTTTTCCAACATTGCTTTTATTTGTTTTGAAAGCTAATAAAATTTCTTTTTTTAATTATAACTTGATAAACCCGTAGGATGCACTGACTCGACTGGTTTAGTTTGTCTAGTGCAGAAATCCTTAAAATTATCACTAACTCCGCAGCTTACTGAGGCATATCTACAAGTATGATTCTTATTACCAGTGCTTAGGATCCGGATTAACAAAAATATCGACAAAACTAAAGAAGTTCTATTTTCAACGATTTATTAAGTTTAAAAGATCTGGATCTGGATCAATTTTTTTCCGGGCGGATCCTAAGCACTGCAGAGCATATTACAGATTAAAAATTTTAATTGTTCTTCTTTTATTTTTGAACCGGTTAATCTTCTCTTAGGTTTTGATAGTTCAAAAACTTCTGGAAATCTCGAACCTGGAGTTAATGGTCGAACTAGCGGAATTATTGACAGAATATATTCCAACGGAAGTTGAAAATTGGGTAGCGGAATATTTGGAACATGAAGAATGGAAATACGTTCAGGCTGAGGTTTTAATACAAATTCAATTGAAACCCAAAAAAGTTAACTTATAAAACGTCTCTTTTATGTGTTTTCGCTTATTACCTTGGTTCAACGAGTTCTGCAAACACTTAAAAACTTTAGCTTTTGTCAGAACTTACTTTCTAGAACTTTCTTTAATTTCTTTGAAACTTTTTAACCCTGAGAACTATTCCCCGCTGTATCCTGCTCCCAAGTTCCTAATTCAACTTTGCTCTCAGAGCAATATTCTCTTCACTAGAGCAACGGCTGTCTTTCAAACCATACTCAGGGATACGCCAGATATGTGAGATATATGTTATTTATTTTTTGGTTTCCGAGAGCAGATGCATTTGGCATTTTTAAGTTATGACATTTCGCTTTAATTATACCTTTCTGAAAAGAAAGTTAATAACCTTTGATTTACATTTCCACCATGGGCCTTAGTTGTGTAAGCTGTATTATTTGATTTCTCATAAATAAAATACGGTTAATTGCTATTCAGAGGATTAAAGGACTGTTAAAAGGTTATTTGTATGAACTAAGTACACTGTTACAAATAGATGGACTCCCCCTCCCCCCGAATCTGATTAGCAAATGTTTTATTATTCTATTCTCAATTGTATCGGCCAATTAGGGAGACTGGCTTTAATGCCAAGATACTGCATCTATACAGATCATTTCTAGTCAGTGTTCTCCAGTTTTCCAGGAAAATTCATAACACAATAGAAGCATTTGTAACGATATTGGAATTATTGGCTATATGATGTTTTGAATTTCAACCATTAATTCTTTCAGCAGTTTCTCTTAGATGAAAAAAAAAATAAAAAAATTTGTGGATTTACAATGTTTTTTTTTGTGGATTTTCAAAATTTTACGGGGAAAAAATATTTTCTGAGCACTAATAAACCTTCCCTGAGGTCAAGCGAGGTCCCACATCAAATTTTAATATGAATTATTTTTAAATTCCTAAACCTTATTTCCCATCGTTAAGTAAATTTTGATCTAAATTTTTTTTTTTTTTTAATCTTAAGACTGTTTTGAGGTTTAAAATTTAGAAATAACTTTAGTCATTTTGGTTATTTTGAACATAGGATATCCTTGAAAATCGGAATTAATTTATGAAATTTTATCAGTGACCCTATTTCTTTGTTCCCGGGTCAACTGCGGGGTTTAGCTAATCAGCTTCTCCGATCTCAAGATTTAGCTGATATATCTCTCTCCTCTGATACTGATACTAGCTCCGGTATTGAGAGCACACGAGGCACTATTCAACAATTAGTCAAACAAGCCAAGGATTCAATCTTCAACTTGTCAATTAAGATAATTAGAAAATTTCCTCAGCCTAAATCTTGTTCTTGTTTTTTTCTAAATAGATTAAGAAGAAATATTTCCCTACCCGGAACCATTGGACACAGGGGAAATATATAACCACCCCAATTTCTAGACATCTGTTGATTTATAAACTCTAATTAAACGGCTACATGCTAAATCTCTTAAAAGCTTGATAGGCAGGGCATTCCACGTCAATGATCCTTATGTGACTACCTGTTTTATGTCAAAGATAAGATGCATTTAAAAATTGTCTATTTTCTTTGGTTTGATTCTTGTCCTGAAAAAAGGAAGATATTAAGACTATTTTGATATGGACATATTTCCCATCCAGGGTTTATATTTTATTTTTTACTAGCTATAGGGCCGTGAAATAAAAAAATTAATTTTGGAAGAAAAAAAAATCCATTTTCAATGTAAGTTACCCCAAGGTGGTTACCCATGGGTTCACTAAAAAAAATTCAGCCCATACGGTCCAGCAGTCTGGGCGGCTATAGGGAACTTATACAGGAATGTCTTGTGTTATTATGTAGATTAATGTGTACCCCCAATGCATTTTTAAGTTATAATTTATTTATTTCCCACAATTAAATATAATTTCTCTCCCAGAAACATACACCCAGTTCCTCTCTCCGCATGCATATTAATCCTTACATAATTTACATACATTAATACATTTAAATGATGGAAAACATTCAGCTTTTTTCATTATTTTTTAAGATTGAAGATTTTAAAATCAGATCACGTGTCCCTGGTTGAAATTAAGCCTGGAGAATCCTCTCAGTGTGCTGTACCCGCATATATTTTCCTCAAGTTTCATCACTACATTAGGTTCATTCATCATATGGAATATTGTTAGTTTTATGTACACGTATAAGTAACACGCGGGTTTATTAATAAGATTTTCAGATTTCCTTAAACTCTGAGGGAACAAGTAAATTAAGATATGTTTTGAATAATGTAAACTGAGATCCAATATTAGAATTTTCTTCATTTGTCTTCGTCTAAAAATCTATGAAATTCACTTTGACATAATTTTAATTTTTGTTTGTTTAGAATCGGAAGAGGAGGATTCAGATGAGGAGTAATGTTTGATAAACGCCTCCTTGGTCCAGTTTACACCTCCCGCCCTACTAGCTGGACACATTCAACCTTCTAGACACGCCTAGTTTCAGGACTTATCTCTAGTGATTCATCTGTACACGCTCATTTCAACCAGCGCTGATAATTTCTTATTTCAAAAAATGTAATTTCAAGTTTATCTGTCCCACATATCTTTTATTGTGCAACCTAATGATATTTTGATGTTCGAATACTCGAGTTCTTTTTTATTCATCCGAGTTCATACCCTACCACCAGTCTATGCATTTTTCTGTGGACAAACCGGTTTTTCGTGTTGCCAAACTGGTTTCTTTAAATGTGAACAATTGAGGATTATATTTACATTTCTACTTTTCTAGAATAGGTGTCAAATCAAGGAGGTGGATCCAAAATAAACCATTTTTCATATTGAACTTTTAATCTTTTAAGAGAGAGAGAACTGTTTTCATAGTTAGATATTTCAGAGCACAAAACTTAAGTTATAAACCAGTTTTAAACTCTGGTTTCACGACTGGGGTTATTCAGTTTTGTGGACATCAATATTTTTGATCAAAATCTACACAAATATCAAGGTCCCCCCAAAAATGGAATTCGGTAGTTTCGTTAGAGCAAGGTTATAATGTAAGGTAAGTTATTTCAGAGGTGAACTCATCTTTTGTACTATCAAAGGGCGGTAATGTAATCACAAGACGAATGTCGAAGCCTGACATGGGATCCATCTTTCACATAAAAAATCAATGAAATATTCTGGTCATAGGAAACCATTATGTGAAATATCAAAATTCAATGCTATTAACCTCCTCGGATACTAAACTAACACAGATGCAACTATTCTTGTTTACAAATTCCGTCCAGAGAGAACTAGTATCAATATGTACGCAGAGTATACGTAACTTCAAGAAACTTTCCTTGTATTATAACCTTGAGTGAGAGCATCAAACGGACAAAAGACGTAATAATGCATAAGTTGTTCCTAGCATCCATGAAGTACCGTAATTTAGGTCTTGTGGGAGTAATTAGTATCTCTCTCAATTTTGGCAATATTTTGTTGACGGATTTCAAAACATATTTGGCCAATTACTTAGACGTTCTACCATAGGCACGCCATGGTTACGCTTTACCAGAGTAGTGTAGATAGATAGATACGATATATAGTTTTACCTTTGGTAACATGAATAAGAAATCGTATAATTTTGGGTTGTCGGAGATCGTAATGTTACTTCTGTCCTTCAGTACTTCCGTCCTAAATTATATAGTTGGTGGAATTCTTGAATTTATGTTCAGTGTGAACTTTTCACAAGGAAATAATATAACAATTATTCAGATAAAAGTATAACCCATAATTTTTCATCCATTTCTATTATTACTAGATGGTTAAGACAGTTCTTTTCAATCAATTACCGTGTGGTCTACGTTACGTTCTATTACAGATCGTTCCAATATTATTGAAAACGCGTTCTATGTGTTCGTTCTTTTTTAGTGTAATCTTGCACCCCTCCCTCATAACAGACCTGAGCAAGGGCTTATAAAGGGGGGTAGTGCTCCCCCCCCCTTAGAACTCAGAGCTATCACACACGCAAATAAACGAAGAGCTTTATTTATAGATTACAATTTTTCACAACAGAAACTGTTATGAGTTAAAAATACTTTTTGAACCTTTGTACTTTTTTCATCTCATAGAATTGAAGTTTAATTGTTGAGTTTTTATTTTCAAAAATGTGTTTTACTATCTCAAGTTTAAACACTAACATGACAATATAATAAAATGTCGATTTTTTTGGCACGTGTTTTTTTCTGCTAGTTTTGTTTGAAGGAGAGATAAAGTAGTACTTGCAAGGAAATTGGACTGTTTCTGTACCTTTTAAGTATCTTACACTAGAATAGTTATTGAAAATCTTAAACCCAGCGGTTGAAAGAAAAAAGTTGCTGAAAAATCTTAAAACCAGCGGCTAAAAGGAAAAAAAAATTTTAAGAAAAACTTTGTTTCATAGGTTGAAAGCAAAAAGTTGTTGAAAATCTGAAACCCAGCGGCTGTAAGCAAATAAATGCATTTTCTCAGCGGTTGCAGGAGTTGAAGTGGATAAAAATGTTAGGAAAAATTATCGATTTTAGTGGTTGAACAAATTTAAGATTTGAGGAAAAAAGGTGCATTTCTTATTCTAGACTGCGTAGATTTCAGTATTTTTCTTCAAAGTATATATCTTTCATATATATCTACATGTATATACATCAAGTTGTAATCTCTGTTTGTTTGTTTGCATGCCTGATCATAACTCAGGAACCCCTGGACCGATTTGCCTCAAATTTTGATAAGGGAACTCGGGAGAACCACGGGAATGTCCTTAGCTTGGTTTTGAGATTCTAAGTGGAGTGGTTTGACTTTCAATGAGAAAAATCGTAATTTAAGAATCAAGTGCGGGTAAACGGCGGGAGTAGCTATGAGTACCCTGGGCAACGCTGGGTTCTCAAGCTAGTATATGATAAGTTTGTTATAAACGTAATCATGTACAAATTCACGAATAAAAATCTGACTTCTTGTGAACTCAATCCTATTAAAAGTTAGTTTTGAGTCATGTTTGTATATATATATATCTTCATTACAAAATAATTATATTATTGAGAAATGATTGAAGGGAAGTAGGTCAAGTTTTATTAAAAAGAGCTGTAACACTACCCTGTATGCCAAAATATGGAAAAATCACGAATGAATGTCTAAAATCTAAATGTTTCGAAATCAACAAAACCCCATTTTATATTTGTTTTGAGTCATATATTTAAGGACAGTCAAGAAGGCTGGACACAGAGCAAGCAGTAGTCAGTCATGGTTCAGTGCAAAAACAGTGTGCTACATAAAATAATTCAGATTTGGCCAAATTATCTTATAATTGCTTAAAATTGCTTTTACCCAGTGAGAGTTTAAAGGAATTAAATATTTTTTGTTTTATTGTAATCAGTACATTCAAACATCATAGATTTCTTATTAAACTTGCAGGGTTACCCGCAAAGGATGACCTGATATTTTTTTTAAATGATTCAAAGGTTAAAATTGGAGTTTTTCCAAATAGCTTCTAGTACAATAGATGGCAACGTAGAATTTGTACACTCTCAGTACAGCTGTATTCTTACGTCACAAGTGTAAACTTAGTTTTTGTGTCCGACAAAATTATTAATAAAAGTGATAATTTAAGGATAGAGTGCTTATCTCACAGTAAAATAAGTGCAGATTTATATGTTCTTTATTTTCGGTTTTTAAATTTTTTATTTAATCTTGGAAAACATGTCAGCTAATGAGAGACAATTTCGTTTTTCTTTTTATATTTGACACTTGTGACGTCGTGAATAATTGATCCATTTCTCTGTTGCCACCTACTGTAATCTATTTGGATTTATCATTGAATGTAGTCCTTAGCGGATATACGGCCTTATTTGACAACGAAAAAAACATGATTACGACTGAAGGGAACTGCATGCTGGGACTTTATATAAAGTATCAAATTAATACTGTAGAATTGTCTCTTTAGTCTCATGCTTTGTGGGTAACTCTGTTTAATATGAATCAGTTTGCAGGATTTTAGAGTATTTGGTGTTATACGAAAAAATGTATATGTTTCTTTTATAATCATTCCCAACCTATATTTATAAGTGATTTAATTTTTGATTTGAAAAGAATTCACTACATATGAGGCCCAATTAAGAAATTAAAAAATTTGTATTTTAAAAATGTTTTCACTTTCAGGTTAAAATATGTTGTTTTCTGTATCATCTTTATTAAGAAGCATCTTAATATTAAATATTTTAGCCCATGCAAGGAATAGGAATCTTATGATTTTATGAAAACAGCTTTTCTCATTTTGGAACAGTTATTAGAAATAAGTTCTTTTGTGTTATGTGGTTTCTCAACAAAAACTTGGAATTTTATTGATTATGAAAAAATTAAGGAATTGGGGGGGAATGACTTTCCCCTTACTCTTCCTTTTCAAGATTTTTGCTTATTTGTTTATAAATTTTGATTATTTTCCTTTAAAGCTCTATTTTATTACAAAATCTTAAGGTTCTATTCCCCTAGTGCTAGCTCACAAAGCAAAAGTATGATGGATGGGTTGAGAAGCCTACTCTCTGTTGTGCACTGGAGAAGTATTCCACCGTGGAGTTTAATCAACAGAAATAGAAACCCCAAATCTTTTGATCTTCCCATTAGCCGGAGTTTTAATGGATTCCAGCTTGAAGATGTTAAACATAATGGCAATAGGTCAAACTACAATAGCAGTCCACATGAAGAAAGTAACAGGTCAAATTACAATAATAACCAGCAAGTAGAAAGTAATTGGCAAAACTACAATAACAGTCCACATGAAGGAAGTAATAAGCCAGACTACAATAATAACCAGCATGAAGGAAGGCCAAACTACAGTAATAGACCACATGAAGGAATTAATAAGCCAAACTACAATAATAACCAACATGAAGGAAGTAATAGGCCAAACTACAATAACAGTCAGCAAGTAAAAAGTAATTGGCCAAACTTCAATAATAACCAGCATGAGGGAAGTAATAGGCCAAACTTCAATAATAACCAACATGAAGAAAGTAATAGGCCTAACTTCAATAATAGACCACATGAAGGAAGTAATAGACCAAACTACAATAATAACCAGCATGAGGGAAGTAATAGGCCAAACTTCAATAATAACCAACATGAAGAAAGTAATAGGCCTAACTTCAATAATAGACCACATGAAGGAAGTAATAGACCAAACTACAATAATAACCAAGTAATAGGCCTAACTTCAATAATAGACCACATGAAGGAAGTAATAGACCAAACTACAATAATAACCAGCATGAGGGAAGTAATAGACCAAACTACAATAATACACCACATGAAGGAAGTAATAGACCAAACTACAATAACAACCAGCATGAGGGAAGTAATAGACCAAACTACAATAATAGACCACATGAAGGAAGTAATAGACCAAACTACAATAATGACGTAGATAATAAACCATGCTACTCTGAACCCTGTTGTAACTGTAATGGAGAAGCATGGTTACCTTTATCAACAACATCAAGACCAGCAATAGGTTCTTCGACCAGGTCTACATCAGCTCCTTCTACCATATCATCATTATCATCAACTCCTTTTACAGGTTCAATGACAACTGCTTCTATGAATACAACATTATCAACTCCTTCCACAGAATCAACTACATCTTCTCCAACTGCTGCAGATCAATGCCAGTATGAAATCACAGCAAAGCAGTTCACTATCTCAGCCCCAACGAATGCCTTGTGTGAATACCTAATACTTCCAGGTTTAATTTTTATTTTTTTTTTGCAGTGCTTAGAAGCCATTTAATTTTAATGCAAATCCGTATCCGGATCCTGGATTCACACTGGAAAAAATGGTTCCGATCCGGTTATGGATTCATGTCATGAATATTTCTTTAAGATTTACAGATTTTTGAACAGAAGAAAATTTTTAAACTTTTTTTTTCTTTTCGTTATTCGTTACTTAACAAACCATTCAGAGATGGGGAAATTTTTGATAATCTCTCTTTTTTTGACAGTTTAGATTTGGGTTTTGAGAGCAAAAGATTTTTGTTTGCAGTTTTTGGTTGATATTATGCCCCTTAGATCCGGATCATAAGTACTATTTTTTATGACACAATCCGTTAGAGCTGCAATAACATTAAACATTTCAAAATGTCAAAACAAAAAAGCGTTACAACAAAAATTTGGCTCAATGTTAAATTTTGAAGCAGGTTTTCTTATTTTAAATGTAATTTCAAAAGATTTAAATGCTTTTCAGAACAATTTAATGACAACTCTTAAACTAATAATCTAACAAAACTGTTTGTAAAAAAATTTAATTTAAAAATTTCTCATGAAAATTATTGGAAAATTCCTTTCTAAAGGAATTATTATCCATCCGATCAAATGAAATTGAAATTCCTGGTTTTGAGAGGGATGAACTGTTCCAAATTATTAACCATCTAGCTGTGTTGTACTGTACCATTATGTTGTACATATTTCTTATGTGCCATTCTGTGTACGGAATAAATATATAATAATGATATTATCAAAGAAGAACGCAAAAAAACGAATTGCAAAATATATTTTTTCAATTACAGGATCTGGAGTATGTGAAGTTGAACTAGAGATTGAATTTATCCCAAAAAACCGTGCTGACTGCTGGCAGGAGTTGGTGGATATAGAAAACTATTTATTCTGTGGCGAAGAACCGAAAACAAAACGTAATTTTATTGATAGAGCAATTACTTTCAAGGTTACCCTCAAAGGATGAGACTTCAGAGACGACTTTACAGAATGCATACTGACTTTTATCTATTTTTATGATTCACTGCTCCCAGGAACTTCTTTCTTTGTCTGCCAAACAATTTATAAAGTCATTTAACGGCTTTATGTCAGGCCAGGGACTTAATCTAATCTTGAAATAATAATATTTTAAGAGTTTTGTGTGTCGTCTTTACAGTCTCATATTTTGTGGGTAACCCAGTATACACTTTTGTGTAGATGATACAGGGTGTCCCACGAAACATGACAGTTGGTGAATAGTTTAGAATGTCTTTTTCCATTATTTGTCAAGTTGTTTGATACTAAATATTAATAAAAATATTATATGGGAGTCATGTTATATTAAAATTGATTTCAAAGTAAAATATAATTAAGCAAAAGATTTGTTAAACTAAAAATAACTATTTATTAAATGTCATGTTTCGTGGGACACCCTGTATAATATTGCACCTTGGCTTTCTACTAAGCCTAAACTCACCAAAGAGAAATTTAAACTTTGAAGGCCCAGCATTCTTTTCCCTATTTTATGTAACCATTGTATTGATACACCGTTCACTGCACTACTTTTACTAAAAATAGTGTATTTTGTCAAGTACTATTAAAAGAAGATCTTAAAATTAAGATAGTGTTTCAAAAATTAAAAAAAAACCTCCACTTTGATGTTTAAATTAAATTAGCCACAACGAATGGAATTTAAATGGCGTCCTGAAAGTCATTAAGCATAACAATCTAAAGATAAACAATGGTTTTCTGCCTTAAATTTACCCTTTTGAGGGTTTATTAAATCCTTTGTCGTAGAATGAAAAAAACTTATCTCTGAACTCTCATCCGTGTGAGTTACTATGAACAACCAAACCTTTAAGTTCCATTTATTACCTGTAGAAAATTGTATAAATCAGAAAGGCTTAATGAATTGATTTTTTGCGTATTTAATTGATTGAATGATTGATTGATTGATTGATTGATTGATCTTCCACGTGTTTAGTGAGTTTAAGCCTACCCCTGGATAAGTATTGGAATATCAAGTACTCAAGAGAATCTGGTTTTCAAGGGTTCAGAAATATTCAAGGAACTCAGATACTTTGCGCAGACGCAGGTGTGTTATATGTACATTGTACAGGGTGTCCCACGATAAACATGACAGTTGGTGAATACTTTAAAATGTCTGCTTCCAGAATTGGTTAAAGGGACTGTAAATGAAAATGAAAGGGGGTATAGGTTGAAACTTAAGCCTTTCATGAGTTGATCGATACCTATAAGGGCAATATCTGATGTTCCTGTCTCGAGAAATTGGTATATACTGTGGCAAAGTTATCAAAAACTATTTATATCAGATTTGGCATAATAATCTAAGTCTTAAGCAGATCATATTCATCAAATACACAACCAATCTGAAAACTGCGATATCCCAGAAAAGCCTGAAAAACTCAGGTTTGTTCCTATTATAATTTGAATTTAACAATTTTTCATTTTTGACAGATATAATAGATTAATATAATTAATACGTCCGTATCACGTGACCAGAACTCCCACCAATGGCAGTGAATTATCATTTTTCCTTAACAGTCCTTTTAAGTTGTTAGATACCAACGAGGCTAATAAAAATATTACATGGTCGTAATATTGTATCAAATTTATTTCAAAGTAAACTATTTTTGGGTAAAAGATTTTTTACCAAGATATAAACTGCAAAATGACTGTAATATCTAATACATTATATGGAAAAAAAACATTCAAAACTATTCACCAACTGTCATGTTTCATGGGACACCAGCTGTGTCTCAACCCACAAATAACGCTTTTAAACTCTAGCCTCTCTTCTCAAATAATGGTAGGTCTAAGTATGTATTTATCAACACATAAAGCTATCAGACTCTATACTCTCTACCTACCAATGGTAGTTCAGTAAGTCTATATGTAACTAACTATATTTAAGTCTAAGGTATACAGGTAATGATTATAACGCAATATATATATACAGGTAGGTTCAGGTTTCCAAGATATGGGGGTTATTACAATATTTATTACATGCAAAATGAAAACATTGATATTATTTAATTATTTAATTTCATATAGAACTATTCTGAAGAAGAATTAAGTGAACATTAAACTCAAAATGTCTTCCTGTTAAAATTGCAATTCTTTGTTTACAAAATTTTAACCTTCCAATTCCTGGGCACAGATTACAAAGAAAAACCTTAAACATGACTCACTTATTAGTTTGGCTGTTTGATTTGTGTTTTCTTGTATGAGTCACTCTATTGCAGATTGCAGAAATAGAATTGGATTATATACAATTAGCATACAAACCATTCAATTGTAAATAAAATTTATGAACAGTGCTTGGAATCCGAAACCTTTGAAATATACGGATTCATGCATCGGTTTGAATTGTAAGCTGTTACAAAAATGCATCAGAAAAAACGGTTTGCTAAAAAAATTTTCATTCTAAAGGGCTATAATTGATTTCTAAATGAGATATTATTGAATGGTAAATCTAGTTGTTAAAGATCCAGATCTGGATTAATTTTTTTACAGGAGAGATCCAGGATCCGGATTCATTTTTTTACAGGAGAGATTCAGGATCCGGATCCTTTTTCTACAGGAGATATCCAGGATCCAGATCCATTTTTCTACAGGAGAGATTCAGAATCCGGATCCTTTTTCTACAGGAGAGATCCAGGATCCGGATCCTTTTCTACAGGAGAGATCCAGGATCCGGATCCTTTTTCTACAGGAGAGATCCAGGATCCGGATCCTTTTTCTACAGGAGAGATCCAGGATCCGTATCCTTTTTCTACAGGAGAGATCCAGGATCCGGATCCTTTTTCTACAGGAGAGATCCAGGATCCGGATCCATTTTTCTACAGGAGAGATCCAGGATCCGGATCCTTTTTCTACAGGAGAGATCCAGGATCCGGATCTTTTTTTCTACAGGAGAGATCCAGGATCCGGATCCTTTTTCTACAGGAGAGATCCAGGATCCGGAATCTTTTTTCTACAGGAGAGATTCAGGATCCGGATTTGCATCAAAATTAGATTGTTTCTAAGAACTGTTTTAGAGTGGTGATTGTAAAAACTAAAATTTTCTGAGAACAAATAAAATCATGACCAATCCTTTTAGGTTTGGAACATTTGGAATTTTAACTCAATTCATCTTATGAGAATTTTGAAACATTTTTTCCCCCCTAATGTCTTTGAATAATAGTTTTTCTATTACATTTATTCAATTCAAAAGTTTAAGAAAACATTTTTAGAGAAGAATTTCAATCTATCTTCATAAATATACTTTGCTTGTATGTCCGTTTGTATCCAATAAACGTCAAAACGGCTGAACCGATCGGGCCCAAATTTTATGAATACATGACCACGTCCACAGGGAAGGTTAATGGACATGCAAAATGGAAATAAAAAAATCCTTAAAAATATTTGGATTTTTTTTTTGAAAATTCGCCAAGTCAAGAAGAAAATTGTCCAAGATTTGAAAATAATTTAAAATGGCCCCGTTTCAAAACAACAGTTTAAATCTAAAATTATATACAAGAAATCCGAGTATTTTTCTACTCTAGGATATAAATTACTCCAATCTCTTTGCTACACTGATAACAAATATCTAAGAAGATTTTAAAATATTGACAAAACTTAGATTTAAGAGACTTTAAGTGTAATTTTTAAGTTAATTTCCATGCAAAGGTGGACCCTGGATGGACCCTGGATGGACCGGTGGCAATGCCCGATTCACAACAGTATCCTTTAAACCTTTGTCTGTTCAACGATGTGGAAAATATTGTCGTTTTTCTAGGATTTTAGTTTTAATTTTGATAATTCAAACATGTTTTCCTGCAGTAGAAATACACTGTTATACAGAAACCACAATTGAAGATAAACATTGATATCTAATTCATACTTGATAAGACAAAGCTTAAAGGGTATCATTGTTAATTGGACATTTGTACCTTTGCAGTAAGGGCAACTTGTAAACACTTACAGTCCCTTTAAGTTAAAACCTATACAAGGTTTTAATTATGAATGAAGTTCACTTTAATTTATCGAGATTTTCAAATTTTTAGGGTACACTGAAGATCCAGATTTTAGAACATTGCGACCAACAACCATTGACACAACAACAGAGTTCTTAACTTCAACAACTACCACAACTTCAACTACTGGTACTTTAACAACCACAACAACACCTACTAGTACTTTAACTATCACAACTGGAGTTTCAAGTACAACTTCTACTTCTGATGATTATTTGTATGACTATGAAAATGTTCCTACGCCTGCAAGATTTTAACTGTTTTTGTAAAAAGAAATATTGAACACTTTTAGATTTCGAATCATATATTACGGATAAACTTACAATTTCAACAATAAATGTTACAGAAGATGTTTTCTAAAAATAAATTTTGATCGGTGTATCTGTCCATAAGCATGTGAAGCATCCGTTGGAGTCGTAGGGGGTAGATACTCTTTTTCTTCAAGCAGTAGTTGTAGTTTCCTAAGGGGCAGCAGTTGTTATAATTTCCTCAGGGGCAGCAATAGGAATAATGGCATCTTCTGCAGTAGGTTCAGCCATACTTCCCATCATCTGGGTAACCTAGGAAGGAAAATATATGTTAATATGAAAAATATAAATGAATGCAGGAGCAAAGCAAATACGAATCTAGGCTTGGGAAAATATTGTGCAAATGGAAAAATTTGGGGATTCAAGGGAAATTACAGCATTTTCGGTTGTTGTTCAGTTTCAAAGGGAAATTGCAATTGCTCAAGAAGTCTAATGGTAACTGAGCCCCTTGCCTGATTATAATCTTGAATAAATTACTTACAGTATCAAGAATGTAGTTTCCACATCCATCCATAAAATTCTCATGGACGCAACGGAAGAAAGCGAGCTTCTGGAGATTCAACTCAATGGCGTAAAGCTGAAATTAAGATGATTCATGCAAAAAATGTAAACAGAAGAAAAATTAGGTTAATCTAGATTCCCAAGATAAGAAAGAACAAGAAAATAAAAAAACTAAAGACCTACCTCTTCAGGTGTAAGATCGATACTGCATTTTTCTTCAGAGCTTGAACTGTCTCCAGCCCCCTGGAAAGCTGTATCTGCTCCAAATTCATTTGAAGAAAAGACATTCTCTAGAGTTGCTTCCATTGATCTGCAATGAAATGTTTTAATAATAATACAAATCAGAGAATGGGCAATATGCCCTACCCACAAACCTATAATTGAAACGCTTTATTTTCAATAAATAAATAAAGATATAATGCCTGTTCATGCAAAGGGGAAGGGTGTCTTGAATTGACAGTGCTAGTGCAGGGGGCAGAGTATTGATATCAGCCATCATAGCCTCAGTATCAATTTGCTCCTCAGCATCCAACCATCCAGTCTATATTCACATATTGATTAAATCAAGGAAGGGATTAGGAAAAAGGATGAAAAAACTTACGGAGGAGAGAACGCAAGCTTTTGCATCCCAGACATCTTGGAAGAAAGTTCCAATCATCTCCATGTTGATGGTACATTCATTCTTCTCTGCGGATCCTAATTAATAGAAACTCATAAGCTTTCTGACCACATAGAGATCAGAAATAATTAACTCACCTTTGCCCTTTCCTTTGCCCTTGCCCTTGCCCTTTCCTTTGCGTCTGAAAATTGTCAAATCAATAAAAAAGTTGGCTATGGGATTGATTGATTAATTAAATATTTAAAGCTATGATTGATTGATTAATTAAATGTCTAAAGCTATGATTGATTGATTGATTCCTTCTGGTTTCGGGGGCAGGAGCTGCAGCACATTGGGTGTGAGCCTTTTCCAGCTTGTCTCCGAGTTCTGAAATATTTAGAATCTTAAAATTCTAAAACTAAAACTAGCTGTTTCAAAATGGCATCAAATACAAAAAAATCAGACATCCCACTTCCCATCCTTTCATTTTATTAATGTACAACTGTATTTTGTACAATTAGCCGTCCAATCCTAATACGCCCTATTCTGTACAGTACACATTCAATATTTTGACCCTGCACGACCATTATTTGTTGTTGTTTGCTTGTCTGGGTTTCTACCTGTGTTGTATGAGCACATAGCAGCCATCATCTTAGGGTCAAGGCAGAGGGGGTTTTCTTGAGCTTGAGGGGCACCACCTTCAGGCGTTGTCTATTGTCATATTTCAAATATCAAATTTCATAAGTCATATATCAAACTATTGTCATATTTTTTATCATTCTTTTGAATATCAGAGTCCAAGTTTAAAGAATTTGAACCGCGATTATGAACTGCCAAAAATCGGTTCTAATTGAGCACTGGCTCAAATCTCTAAACACTTATTGAAATTTCAGCTGAACCATACCATGTTTGAACGGCGTCTCATGTTTAAACTGCGTCTAGATGCAGTTCAAATTCTTTAAATTCGGCTTCAGGTTTCTTAAATTTAAGGTCACTGAAAAATACAACGCATTTTGAAAAATGTTGACTTTGAAAGAAGTAATGCCAGAACCAATGATAAAATAGGAAAGTACAGTTTTCTCTTTAAAAACTTTATTACATTTTATATAATTTATGCTAATCATGTGAAATCACTGAATGAATTAAAATTTATAAGTTCATTAATAGTATGAGAAAACAATATATCAAAATATTTACCCCTTGGGCGGCAACAGAGGCAACAAATAGGAAAACTGCGATTTTCATCATTCTAAAATTAGAAATAAATTTAGGTTTAAAAATCCAAACTATCATGTTTTGTTCTTACTAAAAAAGTTTAAAAATCGGTTTCAAATTTTTTTTAAGAAAGTCCCGCAATTGCATGCAAGGCTAAGCTCCATGATAAAATTTAATTTTTAATTTTTATCGTTTTTCCCTTCATTTTTAAGAAATTTGTACAATGTAACAAATGAGAGAAAATGGAATGATTGATCTTCTTCTATCCTTCCTTCAGTTATGAAATCGAATTATTTCTGAATTAAGATAATATCAATTCAACTTGAAAATTGAAAATTCGTAAAAAGTAAAAATGAAGATAAAAGTTGTCTAAAACTTTTCTTGCTATTAATATATATATAGAAAATATCAAATATGTTGCTGACAATAAAGATAATGCATTAGAAATTTATCCGACTATTGTGTACGCCTGTAAAACTGTATTTTGACATCATTGGTTATTTTAGTTGCTTGATCATCATTAAAACCTTAGTTAATTAACACAATTGTGAATTTTTTGTTCTATATGTTAACTAAAATTGATAATATGAATTTATATTTCAAAATTTATTTAATCATTTGTTGGATATGAGGATCATCTGGTAAAATAAAGCTGAATTTGTGATAAGGTTCCAACTCTCTTTTGTATCAAAAATAACCAATAATTGTTAGTGAAAATTTGAGATGTTGTCAAATATTATTAGCTAAGCCTTTGGAAAATATAGATTGTCTGTACTTCAAATGATTCTCCGCAAAAAATATCGACTACAAAAACATAAATGTTAAATTTTCTTCTAATAAAATCTTTTCAGGAAAATGAAACATATTCTACCGCGGAACCCTGCCTGTATAGATATTTAATAAGGGGTTACTTTTAATATCAAAGCTTTAAAAAGATTTTCCAAATTCTTTAAAAGTAATATTTAATACAGAACTTGATTCATTTTTAAAATTTTTATTTTAAATTTTGAAGAAGTTTTTATAAAAGATAATTATAAACTTGATTTATGAATGACAATTATTTTGCAGAAGGGAAAGAAAGATTTTATTACTCTTATTAAAAAAAAAATAAGTAAAGAAAAGTTTTTGATTTTAAGATTTAAATATTTAAACTATTCTGCTTAATATTAATGCTTACCTGTAGTTAAAGATTGCTACTAGATACCTTCTACCTTCTTCCAATAACCTTATATACCCAGGACCCACACAGCTGCAAATATATATTTATATTGAAATATGTATATACTGGTATTAACTCTTTTGTATAGAATAATTGCCTGAATTCAGACCAATACCGCATAATGCATTCAATCTAATATTTCTAAATTCAAGCTTTAAAAATGTATAATTGAAGTCGTGTCTTTTTTTGAAAATATATATATATGTATGTGTATTTAAACTGGAATGTCGTCCCAAAAAGTTATGTTTTGAGAAGTTTTGGATAAATATTTTTGTAAAATAGAAACCGACCTTGTAGTTTCATGAAAACTTAAATATTATTTTGATTTTTTTGTAACAAATATAAATCATTAAATTCTGATAAATTTGGCGGAATTTTGAATATGATAGATTCTATATTAATTTTTGCTACTAATGTAGATAATTTGATTAAATTTATAAACTGAAAAAGGATTTGAGTCTTTGATTTTCAAATCCTTATATCTTTACAACCCAACATGTCGTAGACCTTTGATATTTCAAACTATGTATTTTGCTAGTTCAAATAATCTAAGTTTAAAATATCAAAAGTTTACAAAATCAGGTTACAAAAATATTAGGATTTATGCAATTAGATAGATAAATAGATAGATAGATAGATATATAGATAGATAAATAGATAGATAGATAAATGGATAGATAGATAGATAGATAGATAGATAGATAGATAGATAGATAGATAGATAGATAGATGGATAGATAGATAGATAGATAGATCGATCGATAGATAGATAGATAGATAGATAGATAGATAGATAGATAGATAGATAGATAGATAGATAGATAGATAGATAGATAGATAGATAGATAGATAGATAGTCAATGCTAGCGTAACACAGCTTTCCGTGATTTGTTTAAAAAGTTTAGTTTTGTCTCTATGCAACAATGAAAATATATATATACGTAACCCCGGACCACATAACCCTAACCTTACCAGTATACTAGTTATACCTTAAATATAATAGTTAATATACAAATTATATATAATTCAAAATATTAGAAATATAAGACATTTTTTTCTCAAGAACTCTCCAAAAAAGAGAGTCATGATTCAAAACATATAAGATTTAAATCTTACGTAAAATTCTCTATAGCTTGACGTGTTCTGTTTGTAACATTCACTTTAGCTTGATGTGATCTGTTTGTAACATTCACTTTAACTTGACGTATTCTGTTTGTAACATTCACTTTAGCTTGAAGTGTTCTGTTTGTAACATTCACTTTAGCTTGACGTATTCTGTTTGTAACATTCACTTTAGCTTGACGTGTTCTGTTTGTAACATTCACTTTAGCTTGACGTGTTCTGTTTGTAACATTCACTTTAGCTTGACGTATTCTGTTTGTAACATTCACTTTAGCTTGAAGTGTTCTGTTTGTAACATTCACTTTAGCTTGAAGTGTTCTGTTTGTAACATTCACTTTAGCTTGACATGTTCTGTTTGTAACATTCACTTTAGCTTGACGTGTTCTGTTTGTAACATTCACTTTAGCTTGACGTATTCTGTTTGTAACATTCACTTTAGCTTGACATGTTCTGTTTGTAAAATTTGAAGTGTTCTGTTTGTAACATTCACTTTAGCTTGACGTGTTCTGTTTGTAACATTCACTTTAGCTTGACGTGTTCTGTTTGTAACATTCACTTTAGCTTGAAGTGTTCTGTTTGTAACATTCACTTTAGCTTGAAGTGATCTGTTTGTAACATTCACTTTACCTTGATGTGATCTGTTTGTAACATTCACTTTTGTTTGTAAAATTCACTTTAGCTTGTCTTGTTTTGTTTGTAACATTCTCTTTAGCTTGATGTGATCTGTTTGTAACATTCACTTTAGCTTGACGTATTCTGTTTGTAACATTCACATCAGCTTGACGTGTTCTGTTTGTAACATCAAACATTTAGAGATGAGGAACTTTTTGTTTAACATTATAAACAGAATTTGTGAGATCTTCGTAACATTATGTTTGTAATTTGGAACAAAAAGTTAAGGGTTTTCTAACATAATATCGTTCGTTGACGTTCAGTCAAGCTAACGTATTTTTCCATCCAAATACCGTTTCCTTTTTATCTAATAATTTAAAGATTTGGCCATGGATTAATCAAAATAAAAGATAGGACACTAGATGTCGTCTTTTTAAGATATTAAAGTATTTCGTTCTCAATAACCCTGAGGCGGAAGCCCAAAGGAGTTACGCGTAGTCGGCGTAGGTCAGGCTCTCTCTCTGTATAATTACAAGACAGAAAGAGAGTCTCTTCTCTTTGGGCTTTTGCATCAGGGTAATTGTGAAAGAAATACTGATAAATCTAGAAAAGACGACATCTCAAGCTCTAGCTGATTGGTAAAGAAGCTGTTCTTGTACTTTTCTGTGACCTTAGATTTAAAAGGAGTATGTCCGATTTACAGTGGTAGTCTGGTCATTTTTATCTGATTTACAGTGGTAGTGTGGTCATTTTTATCCGATTTACAGTGGTAGTCTGGTCATTTTTATCCGATTTACAGTGGTAGTCTGGTCATTTTTATCTGATTTATGATGTGGAAGATATCGTCGTATTTATCTGATTTAAAGTGTGGAAGATATCGTCGTATTTATCTGATTTATGATGTGGAAGGTATCGGCGTATTTATCTGATTTATGATGTGGAAGATATCGGCGTATTTATCTGATTTATGATGTGAAGATATCGTCGTATTTATCTGAATTATGATGTGGAAGATATCGTCGTATTTATCTGATTTATAGTGTAGAAGATATCGTCGTATTTATCTGATTTATGATGTTGTAAAAACTAAAATTTTCTGAGAACAAATAAAATCATGACCAATCCTTTTAGGTTTGGAACATTTGGAATTTTAACTCAATTCATCTTATGAGAATTTTGAAACATTTTTTCCCCCCTAATGTCTTTGAATAATAGTTTTTCTATTACATTTATTCAATTCAAAAGTTTAAGAAAACATTTTTAGAGAAGAATTTCAATCTATCTTCATAAATATACTTTGCTTGTATGTCCGTTTGTATCCAATAAACGTCAAAACGGCTGAACCGATCGGGCCCAAATTTTATGAATACATGACCACGTCCACAGGGAAGGTTAATGGACATGCAAAATGGAAATAAAAAAATCCTTAAAAATATTTGGATTTTTTTTTTGAAAATTCGCCAAGTCAAGAAGAAAATTGTCCAAGATTTGAAAATAATTTAAAATGGCCCCGTTTCAAAACAACAGTTTAAATCTAAAATTATATACAAGAAATCCGAGTATTTTTCTACTCTAGGATATAAATTACTCCAATCTCTTTGCTACACTGATAACAAATATCTAAGAAGATTTTAAAATATTGACAAAACTTAGATTTAAGAGACTTTAAGTGTAATTTTTAAGTTAATTTCCATGCAAAGGTGGACCCTGGATGGACCCTGGATGGACCGGTGGCAATGCCCGATTCACAACAGTATCCTTTAAACCTTTGTCTGTTCAACGATGTGGAAAATATTGTCGTTTTTCTAGGATTTTAGTTTTAATTTTGANTAATAATAATAATAATAATAATAATAATAATAAAAATAATAATAATAATAATAATAATAATAATAATAATAATAATAATAATAATAATTTCTAGAATTACGCCCCCTGGAGTAATCTGTATAGTGAGGGTGAATTACTGACTGAATATTTGGAAGTAGAGTAAGAATTTTAAATTTTAGTATAACAAATCAAATTTATTTTATTGCATGTTAGAATGTTGCTATTTTCAATACTTTTGCATACTCAGTTCAACCATTAACATTGCCGGTCACTCCCTTTAAAGGGGCTGTGAGCGTAATTTCAAGTGACCCAAAATGTAAAGACTGCAATACCCGATTACCCAAGGGTACCCTTTAAACATTTGACTATTCATCGAGTAAAGAGAACTCTGTGTTTTAATCCCTTAAACACGGTGTACAGTGTACAGTGTACACTGTACACTGTACAGTGTACAGTGTACAGTGTACGGTGTACAGTGTACAGAGTACAGTGGAACTGAGTATGCAGTATTGTGGAAAAAAAATTAGAATTCATTTAGACATATAACGTTTTAATGATGTATAAATATTAAGTTTGAGCAAAAAGTCGACGTTCAAAATTATGAATTTGGGTGGGTACGTTTTCAGAATTGGTTTTTTTAAATTATTAAATAACGACGACGAATAATAAGAGATTATAGAAACTAATAATTAAATAAGATTAGTTATTTTCGATGATAAGAGTAAATTTTTATTTTCTCAACCTGTTCCTAAACAACTTATTAGTTTACTTTAGAATTTGTTTACATTTTTGTCGTCGTTAATTAATTCATAATTTTGAAAGTCGACTTTGCGCTCAAACTCATCTAATATATGTCGTAGAAACGTTTTATATGTATCAAATGAATCCTAAAAAATACATTGCCGGTCACTCCCTTTAAGTAGATAAGCTATGATCGAAAACCTGTAAATTTTGTAAAAATTTCCTTTCCATTAAATTCAGGGGGTTGGACGAGGTGGAGCAGAGCTTTCTACCAGGAGGACAAGCTCTTCTTACATTCAAGATTGTCGTAGAGTCTTACAAATATTCAAAGGTTTTAGGATAATTAATGAAACAAATTTTAATTTTAAAAATCAATTCAGAATTTCAGAGAGCTTCGTGACGTCTTTTAAGAAAGTGTTTTAGCTTTCAGTTTTTACTCTACCATCTATATATTAATTTGGCTTGTCTGTTTGTTTGTCTGTCTGTTTGTTTGAATGAAAAAAAAATTTTAAAAATGTGTTTTAAAGGTTTTCAATTTTGTAAAAAAATTTAAATTTTGAAAATCAGCGAATTTATTTTTTAAATCCGCCAAAAAATTTTGTTCTTTGTTTTAAAATGTAAACAAAAATAACATGTTTACAATTTAAATAGAAGATGGGCGCGAAGCGCCCTAAAAGCCTAGTTTTATATAAATATATAATATAGTAATCTCTGTTTGTAAGTTCATTCTTAACTCAGGGACCCTTATACCGATTTGCCTCAAATTTTTATTGAGGAACTCGGGAAGGTTCTGGTTTTAGGGAAAACTTAGTTTCCAGAAAAAGCTGGATTTCCGGCTAGTACTACAGAAAAGGATTTGTGGGTTTCCCCGTTCTTATTTGCGGATTTTCAAAGATCTAAATTTTTGTCAGGAAAGTTTTAGAAAGCTTTTACGTTACTTCCAAACAAAAATGGTCAACAAACAGACAAAACAAAATACATAATTTTCAAGAGAAATATTTTAAGAAATCCATTAAAATATAATTGAAATAATAATAAAATTTAAATAATTTAAAAACAATATCAAAATAATATTAAAATAATATCAAAATAATATACATTTATTATTTAGGAACTGGAAGTTATTGACTACAAGGAAAGATCTTGAAAAAAGTGTAAAAAATAAAAATTTCATTGAGATTGGTATTTTATTGAGAACCGAGGTGGTATTGAAGGAACTATAGTTCGCTGAACTTTCTACCACTGAATGTCTAAATCACCATGAATCAAGGCTTAAACCCGGCTTGGCAGAATATAGTTGAGCACCCAAGCTCAAACTGTTAAACTGTTTTACTATATTAATTTTGTCTTCAGTCCTTGAATGGTCTAACTATTTACAGACAAAATGTTTAAATCTAAAGGTATTCATCAATATAAAAAAATTGTATTTATCTCTCAGGTTTTGTACTTTGCGGGTATTGGATAATCTTGTCCAGTTTTTTTATTAATTATACCTGAATCTCAGTAATTGTAAAAATGAATAAATATAGCCATGAAATATGCGTGAACAGTTAAGGAGCGTCAAATCAATTTAAAAAACTAAATATCTGCAACAGAAGCATTCCATTACCAGAAGGTTTAAAAAACAAAATTTTCAAAATTCTTTCGATGTCTCCGAAGTTCTGTGTTAAACAGTACAAGATTACAACCAATTTTCTTTACTTTTGTCAAATTTTGCAACTAAACCAAAATTATTTTTATCAAAAAATAAATTTGTCTGGCTACTGCAGGGAGGGTTAGAATAATCTTGTATTTGAACAAACTGAAATTAGTTCAGCTATCTGATCTGATCTGATCATTAAATTCTCGGTAATTTTAAAATGAAATTTTCAAGATTATCTTGTAGAACAACAGCCTGGTGGTTGATGGTAAATAAACAAAATATTTAAAAAACGTTAAGAAAATATTTATTTTATTTGAAGAAAGAAACAGTAAATTTTTCAATAACAAACTAGTTAAAAATATCCCTGGAATAAGATAGATAAGCAAGGTTATCCAAGATAGAATCATACATATTTCTATCTAATGTTTCTATGAAGACAATTGGACGAAAACAGCCCCTGCACGGCCGCACCCTGGACTAACCGGAATGAGCAGTATTCCGTTTCTTCTATTTGAAATCAAATGTGTTTTGGTCTATAATTCAACAATCTTTTGACGGATTTGTTTATTCTATATTCCATAAAGAAAAAGGGTAAAAAATTATGTTTGAAGGGTCAAATTGTGATCAAAAGTCACAGCTTCCAAGAATATTGACAGAACCGTTAAATCCAAGCGCCAGCCAATCACCTTATTGACTATAATTTTACCAAAACTTTTAGACTAACTATGTGATTTTGAATAGTCCATTGAACAGGAGACACTGCCCCATTTTATAAAAAAAGTGGATATTTTTAATTTTTAGTTTTACTGTTTTTCATCTTCAGGGGCCATGAAGGGGATCGTAGTCTGTATTAACTATTTTTCCTAGAAACATAAGATAAAAATAAAAACGTAGAAACATAAGATAAAAATAAAAACGTAGAAATATAAGATAAAAATAAAAATGTAGAAACATAAGATAGAAATAAAAACGATTTTTAAAAAACCGTTTTAAATTAAGCATGCTTCATTCTATTTTTCAATAAGTTGTTACGGCATTAACGGCAAAAGTTCAGAACTCCAATATTACAACGGCCACTGATGTAGTCATTAATTATATCAGGTAATTATTTACCTAAAACGAAAGGAAAAATTTCTAAATATTTATCTAAAACTAAAGGGAAAATTTCTAAATATTTATCTAAAACTAAAGGGAAAATATCTAAATATTTATCTAAAACTAAAGGGAAAATTTCTAAATATTTATCTAAGACTAAAGGGAAAATTTCTAATATTTATCTAAAACTGAAGTGAACATTTCTAAATATTTATCTAAAACTAAAGGGAAAATTTCTAAATATTTGTCTAAAACTAAAGGAACAATTTTTAAATATTTATCTAAAATTAAAGGAACAATTTCTAAATATTTATCTAAAATTAAAGGAACAATTTCTAAATATTTATTTAAAACTAAAGGGAAAATTTCTAAATATTTATCTACAACTAAAGGGAACATTTCTAAAATTTATCTAAAATTAAAGGGAAAATTTCTAAATATTTATTTAAAACTAAAGGAACAATTTCTAAATATTTAGTTGATTAGTTAAATTCTAAAATTGAATTTTGGGTAAAAGTATAAAAGAGAATTAAGTAACTTTCATTTTAATTTCTAATTTTTTTCTCAATTCAAGAGCAAGGAGGAGGGTAATTATTGAAAATATATACCCTCTGAATTTAGGAAATTCCGTAGTGTAGACATACCCCTGGTATACGGGTATATAGTATTGGGAGATGAACGGGCTGCAAGAGATCTAGAAATATATCTTCAAACAGAGATCGACGTAGATGATATTGAACTTGATATCCATCGAGGCAAGTACAGGGTTACCCACAAAGGATGAGACTGTAAAGACGACCCGAAACTTTTAAATGACTATTCCAAGATTAAATTAAGTCTTCTTCCTTTAATTGAGTATTTTGATAGCCTTCTTAATGATGGTACAACAAAAGAACACGGTACATAAAATCATTCTAGAGTTACTGGTCACTCATTTTCTTTATTAGATCATATTTCATCAAATACTAAGGACAAATTTATTGAGAGCGGGTTAGTTTACTCAACCTTATCTGATCATTATCCTGTTTTTTTTATTAAAAATGTTAAAACTGTTAAATCTTCATTTCAAGCTAAATATAAACGTAAAATAAATGAGAATACAATCGCAATCTTTAAAGATAATTTGAATAATAATGACTGGTCCTCTGTCAATAATCAATTAAATCCATCTATAGCATTCAATACTTTTGAAAACACATTATCAGAATGTTTCCGAAATTCATTTCCTCTTGTTAAAGCTAAATTATCAAAACAAAAATCTCCAGTTGAACCTTGGATAACAGTCGCTATGTTAGTTTCAAGAAAAAATAAAAATAGATTAGAATCTAAAAGTATAAAAAATCCAACTCCTGAAAACATCAACAACTATAAGAAATTTAAAAGAGTTTATAGATCAATCCTACGTAAAGCAAAAAATAGTTATTATCAAGATCAATTCAGCATTTACAGTAAAAATATAAAACAAACGTGGAATGTGCTAAAAAAAGCTTTGAAATCAAATATCTCAAAGACAGAAATACCTGATTTATTTGTGAGCGACGGTAAGGCATTTTCTGGATTAAATGAAATAACTGAAGGTTTATGATTTTTTTGTAAATGTTGGTCCTAAATTGCATCATCTCTTCCTTCTACAAATAATTTTTTTTCAGAATATCTATCTAATCCTATTGAACAAAACTTCATTTTTGCAAATGTGACTCCAGAAACTATATTTGAAACACTTTCATTGCTTAAAAGTAAAGTAAGCTGTGGAAAAGATAATATTTCTACCAAAGTTATTGAAGGATATCATGCCAAATGTAATTTCTCCAGTTGTTTACTTATTCAATTTATCTTTAAAAACAGGATTTTTACCGGATAGCTTCAAGTGTGCAAAAGTAATACCAATCTTTAAATCAGGTGCCACATGTGATTTCACAAATTATCGACCTATCAGTTTACTTTCTTCATTTTCGAAGTTATTGGAAAAGCTGGTTTCTCGTCAAATGTTCAGATTTATAGATAAATATAGTATCTTATATTCTCACCAATATGGATTTAGAACCAAACATAACACCTCACATCCACTTTTACAATTCTTAGATAAAATTTACCAAGGTTTGAAAAAGGATGAATCTGAATATACCTTGGGAGTATTCTTAGATCTAAAAAAAAGCCTTTGATACTGTTGACTTTGAAATACTTTTAGGAAAGCTGAATCATTATGGTTTTAGAGGTATCACTAACGAATGGTTTAGAAATTATTTAACAAACAGAACGCAATATGTAAATTTAGGAGAATTTGAGTCATCTCTTAAAAAGATTTTATGTGGTGTACCTCAATGGTTGGTTTTAGGGCCAATACTCTTTTTACTGTATATAAATGACCTTCCTAATTGTACATCTTTTTTTACTTCTCTTTTTGCTGATGATACAGGTTTCCTTAAATCCTCCAGTAATCTACATCAACTTTTTTCGTCTGCTAATGTAGAGCTCTCTAAACCAGCATGTTGGTTTCACGCAAACAAACTTACTCTTAATGTTTCTAAAACTAAATTTATTTTGTTTAGAAAAAAAAATATGCCTTTTTATGATCAACAATACAAATTAATGATTGGGGACGAAACTATCGAAAGAATAGGGTTAGGTTGTAAAGAAAAATATTTTAAATTTGTAGGAGTTAGATTTGATGAGTTTCTAAAATGGGATTTTCAATTAGAACACATATGTGCTAAAATTTCATGTGCGATATTTGCACTAAGAAATGTAAAACATATCCTTCCTTTGAGAATTAGAAAATTAATATATGATAGTCTTATTAAAAGTCAACTAGAGTATGGTATTTTATCTTGGGGTCCGTCAGTAAATAGTAGATTAGGTAAATTATCTACTCTTCAGAAAAAAGCTCTACGAGTTCTAGCAGATAAAGGTTATGCTGCACACGCAGATCCACTTTTTCTGAAACTTGAAATTCTAAAAATAAAAGACATGATCAAATTTAATTCTGCTGTTTTTATGTTTAAATATATGAATGGCAAACTTCCATTATCTTTTAATGGAATGTTTTTAGCGTTAGCAGAACCAAACAGAACAAAAAGTTACAAATTAGAATTAGTTAACAATAAATATCTAGAAAGTTTTCCTACGGTTTTTCTTCCAAGGACCTGGAACTCTATTCCATTGGAAATAAAATCATTAGGCACCCTAGCAAGTCTTAAAACAAGTCTTAAAAAAAGTTTTCTTGAAGAATATAATATTTTTCGTTGTATAAATCGAAATTGCTTTTCTTGCTAAATCTTGATTCTATCCCCTTTCCCCTATTATTATAACAAAACAAAATAAAACATTAACATTATAAACTTTGTGTGCTGGGTTGTCCCCCCCCCCTACGATCCATTCTTCTTCTTTTCTTTCTATTCTTCAATACCTTTCCTCTATCTACTACTTTTCATTTTCCTCCTTTTCTTTTTGTTCTAAATTGTTTTTGTTTTAATTGGTTTTATTTAAATTGAACATGGATATATCGCTGCAGAAGGGCCTCTCATTCAAAACAACCAACAATGGTTAGAGAGGCCCTGGCTAAATTAAAATGTAAAAATTGTGAAACTTAAATTGTTTTTAATTAAATATTTAGTCAAATATATATCTATCTATCTATCTATAAATATAAGGACACAGACAGTGTAGATTACATAAATATAAGGAAACAGACAGTGTAGATTACATAAATATAAGGACACAGATAGTGTAGATTACATAAATATAAGGAAACAGGCAGTGTAGATTACATAAATATAAGGAAACAGGCAGTGTAGATTACATAAATATAAGGAAACAGACAGTGTAGATTACATAAATATAAGGAAACAGACAGTGTAGATTACATAAATATAAGGAAACAGACAGTGTAGATTACATAAAGTCGTCTATGAATTTTCATCCTTTGTGGGTGATAAATTAAGAATATATAAGCTTTATTTTTTGTCTAGAACCCATGGAACAGAGAATCCGATAACAGCGGAATATCTCACAAATTTTCATTATCTGTTTGTTATTTTAAACAACATTAGTTGTTTCGACCAAAATGTTCGTTATTTCGAGCAAAATGTTCGTTGTTACGAACAAAATGTTTGTTAATTCTATCAAAGTATTTGTTATTTCGGACAAAATGTTCGTTGTTCTGAACAAAATGTTCATGATTTCGACAAAAATGTTCATTATTTTGAACTAAGTATTCGTTATTTTGACGTTAAATGTTCGTTATTTTGAACTAAATGTTCGTTTTTTAAACAAAATATTAATTCTCTTGAACTAAATGTTCGTTATTTGAACAAAGTATTCGTTATTTTGAGCTAAATGTTCGTTGTTTTGAACAAAATGTTCATTATTTCGACCAAAATAGTCATTATTTTGAAAAAATGTTCGTCATTTTGAACAAAGTTTTCCTTATTTTGAACAAAGTGTTCGTTATTTTGAACTAAATGTTCGTTTTTTCTCAAAAAAGTTTGGTATTTCTCACAAAATGTTCGTTATTTTGAACGAAATGTTCATCACTATGAACAAAATGTTCAATATTTCTAACAAATGTTCGTTATTTCTAACAAAATATTCGTTACCTCGAAAATAGCGATATCAAAAATATAAAGTGAAAACTAAAGTAAAACAAAATTTTAAGAAAATTTACTTAATCCAACGTTTACAAATTTCTTTTTAAATATGCAATTTGAAGGGAACGAAAAAACGCAATTTCTTTTTGAATTAAACTGAATTAAAAAAAATATTTTTTTAAATACCCTAAATGAGACAAATTAAATGAAAAACTTCATTTTTTCAATATTTTTAATTTTTGTTTGGAATTTTATCGCAAAGTTTTCGTTTTTAATAATATTTGTTCAGGAAGGATTTCAGCTGTGAAAAGTGTGGATAAAAATTCTGTTGTTGAATTGGTGATTCAGCTGTTAGGAAAATATAATTCAATTTGTTCTTCAATCCAATGTAAAATATCTTTATGAACTCCTCCCCCCCCCCAAAAAAAAAAAATCTAATTAATAAATGGTGTACAATTAATGTTCATTTATATGTGTAATATTAGGGTATTTTATATTCTACAAAAAATATTACTATAAAAAACAGAAAAAATATTCTACCCTGAAACTTAAAAAATTTAAAAAATATGATTTCAAAAAGTTGAATTGCATTTTATAAAGGGGAACCATGGCCTTACAGTATGAACGACGAAAGAAGTGATCACAGGTTTAACTTGAACCTACAGGGCGCAACATAAAACTGTAGAAAAAGAAGACGACTGTTAAGACTTAAATTAGGATTTTAAACATGACATAAAACACGAGAATTGTGAAGCATACCGACGAAACGCAGACCGCAGACCAATTTTATCAAAAAGAACAAATTTTAAGCTGCGGGTAGTGGTAATATTATTTTGTTTTATAACAACATCATAAGATTTCTTGAATGTCGTCTTCATTTTCCGCAGTTTATTGTGACCCACTGGTTATAAAATGTAATAAAATATTAAAATTTTAAACTGATATTTTAAAGTCACATAAAAAGGACATTTTCCATTCATTCATGATCAGTGCACAAACTATCCAAAAACAGCGAAAACCAGAAAACTCTGAAAGACTACTTTATAAAACTCAATTGTTATTAATTTAAATAGTTAAATAAACATGTAGCACGGCAATTGTGCAGTGTACACAGACCTATTTCCCTTAATAAGGGATTTAATAACTTAGTAGTACAATTTTTACTTTGAGATGCCAACAAAAGCACTTTCATGTCGTCTTTCTAATCTACAGTTTTCTGGCAATCACTGTACAGCGTTTCCAAATAAACATGACAATTTAAAGACGACATTTGAAATATATCAAATTTCTATAAAATGTTCCAGTTCTACATTTCGCAATTCAAACTCTCAAAAATAATATAGATGCATAAATGATGAATTATTTAACAAAACTATATCAAAATTGTACCAAGTTTAAATTCAATTCAAATTAAATCAAACGATATATTTTTCTGTAGTAATAATTAATTATAACAGATACTAAGACAACATTAGAGTATTTAATATACGGCTGAACCACAAAGGATGAGAATTCAGGTACGACTGTACTGAATTAACACTGTCTGTTTCATCATATTCATAATTCCTGCAACTGGAAACTTCTTTTTTCTTTTTCCAAATCATTAAATAAGTCATTGAAAGACTAAACCTAAGGCAGAAGATTTAATTTAACCTTGAGAAATTCATATTTTCAGAGTTCTAGTCGTCTTCACAGTCTCATCCTTTGTGGGTAACTCTGTATGTAAACTAAGAAATCGTGTAACACCCTGTATATCGAATAATTCCAGGATGAATTTAACTGATGTATTTCTTCACCTGATCCAACCCAAGTTCAAGAACGTATTTGGAGAACACTATTATAGGTTGGTGATTTTTGAATGGAATGGAGCTGAGCTAGCACTCCCCTCAAACTCAAACTCAAATATCAAACTATAAATTCTATTGAATACTATTACTATACAGTTAATCCATAAATGAGTCATACAGCGAAAGAATTTATCCAATGTCGTCTTGCCAATTTTTCAATAGGTTTTATACTACTGGACGTAAATCTCAGTATTTGCGAAAATAAATAAATAGCCATGAATATGCGGGAACAGTTTTAAAGAGCTCCATATACTCATTTAATTAAAAATACTAAATATCTGCAAGATTCCATTATCAGAAAGTCAAGAATACGACATTTGATGAATTCTTTCGATGTATGGCTTATTTAGGGTTTAACTGTAAGTAAATAGTTACTATAAGGACTCATTCCTACAGGTGGACAGAATCGGTTTTGTAAAATACATCCAGATCAATATTGCAATAGTCGTCATAGCTCACAGCTGGCTCATCAAAATCTAAAACCGCAATATAAATAACTTATCATTTGCAGACTCTTTTCTGTTAAATCCTAAAATGATGATCCTAGGTTTGGCGTGGCTCTAACTTGATATTGAACAATAAATGTGAGAGAAAACAGATAACTTTTTCACTTTGTAATCAAATGTAAAATGAGACAGTGCTATTATATCATGAAACACTCGGAAACTAAAATCATTTATTTTTACGATTATTCAAGATTGGTAAATAATGCGCCATTATACTGTTTGAAACAGATCCACCCCATCACACATTGGATTAGTTTTAATTGGTTTATAAATAGGAAAAAGTAGCTTTGTTAAAAGGGGCACTAAACCCTTTATCCTTGTAGCTTTGTGATCTAATGATGAAAGATATTTCAAACTTTAATTTGTCTCGCAGTATTTATAGTTTAAAATAACAACATCAGGTTGTCAAGAAATCGGAAAACGACAATTATTCATTTTAATAAATATAACTTTTGTATAACTCAAAGTTTCTACTTAAGAAAACATTTCTGCCCAATACAGTGAATAAGAATAGACGACATTAAAGCAATAATTATGTTTTTTTATTTTGTTACAAAGCAAAACGTTTTACAAGTAACTTATAAAATCACTTATTAAGTGAAATGGGTCTGTTCACAGTGCGCAATTGCTCTGATTCATGTTTAGTGAATTATTTAAAGTAATGATTTGAGTCTAAAGGTCGTCTTCCTAAAAATTTGATTAACGAAATAAACCGCAAAAAGTCTTCCATATATAATACAGTATATGGAAGAAGACATTAAAAACCAATCACCAACTGTCATGTTTCGAGGGACACTCTGTATAAAGAATTTCGTTCAGATTTCGACTATTTTCGTTTTATTTAATAAAATTGAAATTCTTAATATCTCAGTTAGCATTAACAACACAAAAAAAGGCAGACCACATTTTGGAAATGCCCGGACTAGGAGAGTTTTGTGGTTTTTGTTTCATGAACCATACATGTAATAGTAGAATGACGACTAAATGTCGAAAAAAAACGTCAAAGACGACGTTCAAGTCGTCTTGCTACTGTCATGAAACTTGGGACGGCCCTGTAAGTGCAAACTTTATTTCTAGGACCGTGATCAGCCACCTGGATAAAACTACAGAAAGTATTATTGTGATATCTCACATCCTACTTGACCCGGACCAAGAAAACCTGTATCATGCAACTAAAATATGGTACCAATTTCCAAAACCAAAACAATAATTGAGAAAAAATTCTTAATTAATAAAAATTTCTAATTAAAATATCATGACATTTTTTTCTCTCATTCGATTACATTTTAGGTCACAATTTAATTGAGAAAAATTCTTAATTAATAAAAATTTCTTAATTAAAATATTAAGAAATCATGAAATTTTTTTCCTCTCTCGAATACATTTTAGTATAAGTAAACTCATGCTCCCCCCCCCAAAAAAAAAAATTAAAAGGTTCAGGACTTGCATAAGTTTATGGACCAAAGAGAAAATCATCACTTGGTAAATTTTACGTTTGGGAAGAAGATTTTTGGGTAAATTTTAAATACAGGGTTAACCACAAAGGATGAGACTTCTGTGACGATATAAACTATTTCAATTTGAAGATCTAAACTATTTCAATTTGAAGATCTAAAGGTTGAAATTCATCTGTGACCTTGAATATGATTTTTCTAAAGGTAAACTTAAAAGAAACAGGGTAATCCTGGATTTTATTATTTTAAGTTAGAAGGTGTTGCTTTTAAAGGGACTGTAACCATAATTCAAAGTGACCTTCCAAACAAAGATTCATAACAATACCTTTAAGAGTTTTGTCTGATTTAATGATTTTGAAAATTGAAAACTGATTTTTTTTACTTAAGTTAGTTTTCTACAAAAGTGACTTGCTCATTTCTACTGCAGGAAAGCATATATGGGTATTCTTAGAAATAAGAAAAGAAGTATTAACCTAGAAAAACGACAATATCTTCTACATTATTGATCAGAAAATGGTTTCAAAGGTACCCCAGAACAATGCCATCTTAACATGAAGTGTCATTTGAAATTAAGCTTTTAGTCCTTTTAAGAGAAGCAGTATCATACAGATCAAGGTTCTTTATTAAGTCAGGTTACTCTTGATGAGCTCCAATGTACGGAAAATGTCGTCCCCTTAGCATAGATAGATATAAACCTCATATGACCTCACTGATTATAGAGGCGAGAGTGACGACATATAAGGATTTTATCTATCTATCTTTGGAGACGACATTTCCCGTACATTGGAGCTCATCGAGAGTAAACAACCTTGATCCAGGTACTCCGAGCTTGGTTATGTGACCTTTGGACGTTGGAAACTGTTCCCCAGTAATCTCGAGGTCACGAGGTCAAGGGTAGTGCCCATCAGGTAATTAATGGGCTTAAAGGGATTGTTGGCGTAATTTCATTCCTTTAAAGGGATTGTTGGCGTAATTTCAACTCTTTTAAAGGGATTGTTGGCGTAATTTCAATTCTTTTAAAGGAATTGTTGGCGTAATTTCAATTCCTTTAAAGGGATTGTTGGCTTAATTTCAATTCTTTTAAAGGAATTGTTGGCGTAATTTCAATTCCTTTAAAGGGACTGAAAAGTAAATATAATTTCATTTACATGTTTTTCTTTTTGATGATTTATAATCTTCAATTCTGGTTTCTCTGTAAAAGTGATTTGTGGAATACTTTTAGAAAAGAATGGAGGAAATTTCCAGAATTTAACATTTTACATACTAATAAAGACAACGATATCTTCTACATTATTTATCAGATTTTCAGGGTACACTATACCTAGTGAACTCGGTTGGACTTCTTTAAAAGGAGAATTCCCTTATAATGACGTCTACTGCAGTCCCATTGCGGTGTAGAAACAGTATACAATTCGCAAGAACGTTAAAATACGTTTAGTACAAAAGTTTTATTTAAGTTTTGATTTTTAACAAGCTTTTTTTAGAATTACAAATTTACAAATAATTGAAGAAAAGCTTTTTAAATTGATAGCTTCTCTTAATGTTCCTATGTTTATGTGTATCCTTTAAAAAGCTTTATATAAATCAAAATTGAAATCAAAAGTCGTCTTTATTGTATTGATATATGCGACGACGGCTGTACATAAAGTCAAAATGCATGGGACAATTTTTTGTTTAGATACTATCCCTTTCTCTCGGATAGAAGCTACCTAGCTCCTCAAGCTCCTGAGTTTCAGAACGTATCTCCTATCCTCACTATTACCCTGCCATCAGCCATAGGTGATTTATAATTAATAATATTATTAAATTATTTAAATTTTAGCCTAAATACAGGGTTTACAGTTGAGAGACGACTTACAAGGCGTCCCATGAAACATGACAGTTGGTGAATAGTTTTGAATGTCTTCTTCCATATATTGTATTAGATATTATAAACTTTTTGCAGTTTATTTAGTTTTAAAAAATCTGAATTAAACTTTGAAATCCAAATTAGCTAAATATGGCTGCCATTGAGTATTTTAATTATCATTTTCTTTGGTAACTTAAATAACCTATTATTGAAGAAGACATTTTAAACTTTTCACCAACTGTCATGTTTCGTGGGACACCCTGTATGTTACTGTGGAATAGACACGACGACATTTAAGCAATCATCTTGTGTATTTGATGTTCTTATTAATTTTTTAAATTTAACTTTTTAAGTCAATGCTCACTGCATAATTTATGTATTTTATGTTTACTTAAAATCATAACAATTAATTTAAACAGTCGTATTGCTATTCCAAAGTTTAATGAGTCCCACTGTATAGATAAAGTGATAACAAAACAACTTTCAAATATGAGAACGACTTTTTAAACCTTGGTAAAAAGTACAGCCCGTTTTTAAAAATCAACAAAGGGAAAGAATTAAAATTGTTTGAACAAGAAATAGCAAATTTATTTAAAAATTACATGAAATCAGAATTTAGGTTGGAAATTTCATTATCTTCAAAAAATATAAATAAAGATTTGAGCAAAATGGTCAAACATGTAAAACGAACCAGAAACTCTAAACTTGAAAAGTTTTTGAATAAATTCCGAAGAATCTACAATGAAGTTAAAGAATTATTTAAAACACAACTGGAAAAATGTCAAAATACATCACTCCCTAACTATAAAAGTTTCGAGAAGGCCTTCGATTTAAGTGACGATAGAATAATTGTTGAAGCAGATAAAAATGTCGGATATGTATGTCTATACAAAACGGATTTACTAGATCAGTATACAAAAATAAATATCCAACAATATTTTGGAGCGGTCAATATTACCGAAAACTGGTATCTTGCAAATATTATGAACTTCATTAATGACGCTAAAGTAAACCTTCCTAAAGAGCTTTCTAAAATCGTTTTGAACAAAGACTTTATCTGGAATGAACAAACATCAGAAATAGGTGTATTAAGATTACAACCAAAAGTTCTAAAGTTAAAAGCAATTAACAATCAAAATATTAAAAACTTAACTTCACGAGGGATTAAGAGCTCCATGAAAGATCCGATTAAAATAATTCAAAAAGTTCTTGATAAAATTTTCAATCACTTACTTTTTCATATTGAGGAAACTTTTCAATCCCAATTTGGAATGCTTTCACCATCAGTAACGGGCGTAAATGAAGCCATGGAAAGGATTAAAAATTCAAAAACAGGACTATGGGGCAGATCAATTGAATTAGAAGGAGATTTCAGTGACCTCTATTCAAACTGTAATAAAAATTTATTAACTGAATGTGTGGAAAAAGCATGCTGTTACGCTAAATTACATGAGTCAACTTTTAAGTACATAAAACTTCTTATTGATAATATAATGACACACTCATACTTTAAGGAACCAACAGGTTTATTTAAAACCTTAAAGGGCTTTTCAATGGGAGACTGTTCAGCGGCAAGAGGTAGCGAAATTATTCTTAGGATATATGAGATTAAAATGTTCGCAAATTTAGCAAGGAAAAATTTGTTAAAAAATTTACTAAGATTTTTGCGTTTTAGAGACGACGTGTCCATCCACATTACTGGAACTGATCTAGAGTTGTTTCAAGCCATGCAAATTATTGGATCAGGGTATCCCCCATGCATAATTTTTAATATAGAATCAAAAGTAATCCATGGAAAATTTCTAAATATAAGAATTTATAACAACCCGGCAACTCAAACACCCTATACAACTGTGCTCCGGAAAGGCCAAAATAAATATAATATAATACCACCAAACTCAAATACACATCCTCGGTTCAAACAAATGGCGGGACTAGGTTATTTTAGAACTGTCAGAACTCATTGCAGTACTCGGAATGAAATACAAAACCAAATCAAGGTCGTATACACCATATTAAAATCGAAAGGCTTTAAAAATCACCAAATAAAGAAAATGGAGAAATTTAAAACAAGAAACAACAAAGAAGTAAAAAGGTTCTTATCTAAAACTACTTATAACAGTATTTCAAGAAGACATGAATACATATTAAAAACATTCAAAGCATGGATATAGACCCAGAGAAGTACTATCAGCCCATGGAAGTTTCCGGACAAAAACTAGAACAAATGATATTTACAGTAAAACAAATGCGTCAAAAACTAAACTTTTGAATAAATACACCAAGGAAACAACCAAAGGATTCATTGGAGTAACTTGAATTACGGGTAATTTTATATATGATTTGGTGGGTGGGGGTGGTTGACATGGATTCTTTCTTTCTTTCTTTCTTTTTTCTTTTTTCTTTTAAATACATAAACTTTATCAACAAAATAAAACCCTGCATGGGTCTAGTGCCAAGGGGCACTGGACCCATGCTTAAAAAGGGTCCAGTGCCACTTTGAGGAAGCACATTTTTTTTTAGATTTTACAATTTAAAATTACAAATTAAAATTACACTATTTCAGAGGATTCCGTTTCAGCCACTCAAACCCTCTTCAATCTTTAGAACTTTGTAAATTATACAGAATACATTGCTAATTTTGGCTGTTTTAACTAAAACTATGTAATTTGAATTATTAATTTTATATTACCATGAATAATATAACCAAAGTTCCATTCCTCAAATTATTTAAAAAACTCCAATCGAAGTACAAGCCTCATTATAACCCAGGATGATCATTTTAGGAAAGTTTGTTAAACGGGACAATTCAATAATCTTTCATCTAATGGGTTTGGAATTTTGAGTTTTTGATAAACCAGTTGTGGGCCATGATAAGCTGGGAGCTGCCGACCATAGCAGTGTTGATCAGGATGCACGGTTCGAGCCAATCCTATCCATCTTCGGGACTGAGTCCTGCTGACTATATACTTTTAGTTATAGTATTATTAAAATATATGGGGACGACTTTTTTAAACCAAGTTATAACTTCAAAATGTCCAATGAGCAGTGTAAACAGACCCATTTCATTAAACTAGTGATTTCGTAAGGGTCTAGTAAAACTATTTGCTTTGTAACAACATCAAAGACACATATATAGTATCCTTATTCTATATTTTCTGGTTCTGTATCCAAGAACCTAAGTTTTTACAGATTGTTTTCGCCATTATGAAAAAATTTTAAGACTTTTGATGCACATTTTGGCATTTTTTATAAGTGTCTACATATCTTTTCTGAAACTCTCTGTATATATATTTAGTTGTGTTCTGTTGCATAATAATAATAATAATAATAATAATAATAATAATAATAATTTAGTTGTGTTCTGCTGCATAATAATTGTTGTGGGGACGCTAGTCTTTATGCATTGGTTTGCTTTCGAAAAGGTAAAATTCAAATTTTAAATTTTTGCTAAAATTTTTATTTTAGCTTGAGAACTAAAATGACCACTGCTTGACCAGTCTTGATTACAGAATTTAAAAATTGTAACGCAAAATTTTTGATTTAAAAAGTAAAAAAAAAATAATTAAAAGTGGTTAATTTTTATAGAGTTTGGCATAAATAAATATAAATATTAAAAATATTTTCACACCTGTCACTGAATGATATTATTTAAGGAATTTAATCTTTCTGCATTTTATTGAGATTTTAAAGGTTTCTTTACCTGTTTCGTGGGACACCCTGTACCCCTGAACAGTTTATGGCCTGAGCATATTTCATGTACAGGGTGTCCCACGCAACATAACAGTTGGTGAATAGTTTTGAATGTCGTCTTCCATACTTTATATAAGGCACTAAAGACTTTTTGCAGTTTATTTCTTCAAAAAAATAAGTTACTCAAAATTATTTTACTTTGAAATCAATTATGACTGCCATGTGAGATATTTTATTATTCTTTTTGAAGAGCTTAACAAATTATGGAAGACGACATTTAAAACAGGTTACCAACTGTCATGTTTCGTTGGACACACTGTATTTTTAATCACTGAATTTTCAGGCTTTACATTTTTTTGTCGCTTGATTGGTTTTACTTTATCTTACCTGGCACAAACACCCCCCTGGGTCCTTCTTCATGATAGGTCCCACAAAAATAATCGGCCCGATCGATTCAGCAATTTAATTGAGACATACGAGGCAAAAAGATGATATCACAAAGATCTAATAAACCTGTTAACATTTTTAAATATTAACAATTTCAATATTTTAGGATTCTGACAGATATAAGATATTTGCTACGGATGCCAAAAAATCCCCAAAATATCCATAAAAAAACTATTTTTTTTTCTCGCAAGTTCTGAGTTGGAATTTATCCAAGGAGAGATTCAGTTTTCGCTTTTTATAAATTCCAATTTACATCTTTTAAAAGCTTCTTGTAGTCATTAAAAATTTTAGATTAGAAGACGAACCGAATATCGGGAATAACCATATTTAACCCTATCCCTGCTGGGGTACTTGGGGAGGGGTCAAGTTGACTTGGAGGTCAACTTGTTTCATGTCCAAATATGACAAATAATACATCATTGGAAAGCTTGTATGCTCTACTTTTATTATCTGCAAAAAAAGCAAATTTGCAAAATTTTACATTTTTTTGAAAAATTGAGTTAGTAAAAATGTTTGCATAAAAAATTGAGCAAAAAATGATAAAATATACTTTTTTGAAAAGGCCATACCATTAAAAATATGCTTTTTTCAAATTTTAAATAACCTTAAGTGTAACTAAAAAAAAACTAAAATGTGCAAATTTCTTTTGACAGGTTGTATGCAAATAGTTCGCAAAAAATTCCTTTGCAAAACTTGTGCAATCCGTTTCCTTATGCCATAGGCTTTCCAAAAAGCTAAGAATTATTAAAATCTGAAAGTAAGTCGGAACAAAGATTTAGTTCGTTAAAGGAAAAAGTAGTCATTCAGGCAGTGTGCCTGAGGACTCGGGCAGAAGGCAGTAAGTATAAAAGCCCGCGTTTTAGACTTAAAGGGAGGGCTATGGCTATTTAGAAAGAGTCAGAAAATTTCAACAGCCTCAGACCAAAACTTTTTGAGTTGTGTAAAANCCAGCAGGAACAGGGTGAAAACATATTTTAATGTGTGTGAATACTGTGGTCTGTGCTTACCTATTTTTAACCGTATAAATAAATTTTACAAAATAATTTGAAAATTTTATCCTTGACATGAGCCTCCGCTATGCAGACACGAGCCTCCCAGATTTGCTAGGCGAGCGGGGGAAGGCAGGCGGCCATGAACCACCACTATTTCCCCTTCCGTGCCACATATTAGCTTTTTCCTCTTCCGGCAGCCATGAGCCACCACTATTTCCCCTTCCGTACCACCACATTTGACACTTCCGGGCAAAACTACTTTTTTAAATGGTATATTTAGGGCCTTTAAAGTGTGATTTTAAAAAATCCAGCCGCGTCACTCAAAAAAGCACAACTCAAACATTTTTTCAATTCTACTTGAGATTAATATTTTGTGTGTTGAATTCTCAAACTGTTTTAAAATGAAATTTTTGACAAATTTGACTGAGTATTGCATCTTGAAATATCACAAAGTCTAATGATTATTCAATTACTGACTAATTACACTAAATCCATCTGAAAAATCATTCATTTACCAACTTTGTGATATTTCAAGATGCAATACTCAGTCGAATTTGTCAAAAATTTCATTGTAAAACAGTTTAAGAATTCAACACACAAAATATTAATCTTAAATAGAATTAAAAAAGTGTTTCCGCTACTCAAAATGACCATGGGCAATACATTAAAATGTGCCTGTGTAATAAAGGAGGTTTTAAAATTTTTTTATTTAGTTTAAGTAACAGATTTTTTCAAATTTTTCGACATAGTGGCTTCTGAAAGATGAGAAGTATTTATCCATTATCATAAATAGTTCCTAATTATGACTAATAAAAAGTGGTATATAAAACTTAAAACGTGTTATACATAAAGAAGGAAAATATTTAGAGAAAAAATTTTAAATGAATTGAATTTCATCATTAATCTTCTTTAATTAAAGCGAGGCCGAATTTAAAGAATTTAAGCCACGGTTTAAATTTAAGCCGTCGCTCAAATATGGTTGGTTCCACTTGAATTTCTATTAAATTTTTCAAGATTTAAGTCGGCGGTCAATTAAAACCGGTTTTTGGGGGATTTAAGACGTGGCTTAAATTCATTAAATTCGGACACGGTACCTTTTTTCTAGTTCAAATATATCTAGAAAATGTGCATCATTTATTCAAATCTTAACATTTTTAAAGAAAAGGTATTGTTTAAACCAAAGATTACAACATGACAAACTAAGTTTTCTCCAGAAATATTTCTCTAAATATCTTCTTTTCTGCGCAAGAAATGCAAGTTTTAGTATAAATCTTATAAACCATGCACTTTATGAGTCCAGAGATGGAATTTAAAGAATTTGAGCCGCGGTTTAAATCCGCCAAAACCCGGTTTAAATTAAGCGCCGGCTTAAATCTTGAAACATTTGATACAATTTTAAGTGGAACCAACCATATCTAAACCGCGGCTTAAATTCAAACCGCCGCTCAAATTCTTTAAATTCGGCCACTGTATATGTTTCTAATCTTGAGAATCAATAAATAACTCTAGTCTTTAGTAAAATTCTTATGTCATGCTACGTCAAAAAAAATTGTCAAAATTTTTCATTACACATAAAACAAAGATTTAAAAAAAGCTGTGCTGTGTGATGGAGCCTCGTTTACTGATTAGTGGAGGCACGGTCTGCCTTGCAAATCTGGGAGGCTCATGTCTGCATAGCGGAGGCACATGGTGACCAGGGGTTCCTTTCCTCAACAAAAGAACGCATCCATAGAATCTTCGATTTCAAAACCATTTTTTACGTTGACTAAAGAAAATGAAGGCGTATTTTAAAGTGGAACTCAATTTAAAGGGAGTGTTCGCGAAAAACGAAAGGGGGTATAGGCGTAGTGCGATAAAAAAGCGCTTTTGATCGCTACTAATCTTACTTATATCTGTTGCGTCTATAAGGAGAAACTTGTTAAAGACGTCTTATACCGAATAACTTAGCGCCCATACAAATTCAGAAAATTGTAACATACTACTTAGACCGTAAAAATCAATTTAATTTCAAACAAATCATTCAGATATTACAACCTATAGTCATTGATTATCTTTCGCCACATTTGTATATAGTTTATATTTTATAATATTTTTTAATTAATTTGTTTGTTTCTCTTGTCGCTTGCGCAACTATCTAAGAATGCCGCACACCACTCACAATTTTCGAAATCCGTTGAAAACATTTTCTAAAAAAATAAAATATTATGAAATATAAACTTTATACAAATGTGGCGAAAGATAATCGATATCTATAGGTTGTAATATCTAAACGATTTGTTTGAAATTGAATTCATTTTTTACGGTCTAAGTAGTATGTTGCAATTTTCTCAATTTGTATGGGCGCTAAGTTATTCGGTATAAGACGTCTTCAACAATTTTCTCCTTATAGACGCAACAGATAGAAGTAAGATTAATAGCGATCAAAAGCGCTTTTTTATCGCATTAAGCCTATACCCCCTTTTCATTTTTCACGAATACTCCCTTTAAAGAAGGTGAACAATTCACAAGTGTCCTAGGAACCTTTTTGGTTTCTTAGGTATTTATTTCTGATAATTCTTACATTGTTCTCCTGCAGCAAAATTGCGTATGTAACTTCTAAAGGGAAACTATAATTGATTATAATCCGTCTTCAAAGTTATAATGTGGATATTTAATAGGGTTACCGTTGTTAATCGGACATTCCATTCTGTAAACATAGATAAAGATAGATTGCGCATAAGACGACATTTTTCACCTTGAAAGATATAAATGTACAGAGATGTTTTAAAGATATTCCTATTATATAGATTAACTAAGTCGGTTGTGAACATTGGCTGTTTTTATGTCATTGAGTACTTGTGGTGTACATGAGTTCTGTAGAGAGAAATTTAAGTTAGTTTAGTCCTTCTTCAGTTCTCGTCAAAATGATATATTGCTCAGTGAAATATTGTTGTTAAAATAGTTAAATTATAACACCAAACCACCCCGCTTATCATTGAAGTACACTTTGACCCCTAGAAGTATGAGTTCGCGGACTGTACAATTCTTGATGATTTTGCGTACTTAAGATATCTATGTTGATTTATTTATCTATGTCTGTAAACAATCTGTAAACAGACCCTTTAAGATAATTATGTTTATTAATGAGCTTTTCTAAATGTGGACAAACTTCGGTGCACTTTGAGTTACAAGATGTTCCTCAATTAAGGTTTTATTTGTTAAAATCACAAACATATCTTCGTCGTTTTCGCAAATACAAAGAAAGGCAGTTTCCAATTTTTTAGACTAGAACTAAATTGTCCTTCCAGAACTGAAAACTATAGAATGAGATATCCCTAATCCCGATTACTTAATCTGAGTATCCAATGGACACACTTTTGATTTTCTTCTCAAACCGTTCTTTCTTGGATATCAAAAATCAAAAACCGGTTTTTCTAAATTAGAGAGTCCCTCCCGTTTCTGTATATAATCTTAAACGGCTTCATATACGCGACTCTGGTTGGTTGAATTTTTACACTTTTCAGGATACAAGTACAAGATTACATTAGTCTCGATGTTAAGAAAAAGAGAGGATTAAGCATTAATCTCGATATCCACCATTCTAAAGTTTTCAGCTCAGAGCAATCTTGACCAAAAAAAATACCTTTTCTCAAAGTCCAAACTAAACGACTCTCACTAAGAAATTAGAGAAGATGAACATTTTCCAAAAGTTGAACCCATGAACCCAATATTGATAATAATTGATGATATAAAAATGTACTTTAAAGTAAACCGTGATCCATCTAACCAAACATTTATTAACAATACAAAAAAATACAGGTACATAATTATGAAAAAAATTATTTTAACGTACAAAGTGTAATGGTAGGGTTAGCAAAAGAAGTTAAATGCTAAAAGTTGCATTAAAAAAAATCGTTAGAAAATTGTCGATTGTGTCAAATTCATTATCTTTACCGTCATCTACTTTTAACTCATCCTGTCCTGCCTCTTCTCTCAAGTCCTTTCTGATAGTTCAGTCCTCTTCTATGATCTACCTTTCAGTACATTCTTTACCTGTCCTTAATTGCGTCTTCTATTCTACTTTCTCTTATATCCGTACTTATATTTCTGTCCTCTACACTGCTCTTTCTTTCTGTCCTAATCTCATAGAATACTGATGTCCTAATATGTCTTGCTTAATTCTTTTTTCTCCTAATCTGTCCCCAGGTCATTGTCCTATTCTGTCTCCATGTCCTCGTCCTAATCTGTCCCCTAAGTCCTTGTCCTATTCTATCTTCATGTCCATGTCCTTTTCTGTCTGCATATCTCCCTCCTCTTCCACCATGTCTTTGTCTTATTCTGTCTTTGTGTCCGTGTCCTATTCTGTTTCCATATCCCCCTCCTCAGCCTCCATGTCCTCCTCGACCTGCGAGTCCGCCGGCTTCTCGTATGCCCTCTCCAGGGGGTTCACGACCACTCCGTCCCATACACTCATCTCACTAGATAGAATAGGGTACAACTAGCGACAATTAACGGTGAAAATCATAACTAATAAATAAATTTAATAAAATCTTGCAATAGTAGTTAATCGCTTTTTTGTTAGTAATATAAACAATATATATAACAGTTTAATGACGACCTCCAAATCGTCTTCGAAATAGTTTTGGGTGCTAATCGTAGCTAATGTAAGAAGTAGAAGTCTTGAATATAAATCAAAAAATCCCTTGTCTTGACATTCTTAAAATGTGGTCTGCCTTTTTGTGCTTTCAAAATTACCCGAGACATTAGGAATAGATTGAAGTCAGAACGAACTATCTCCAGTAACCTGCAGACCATATTTTGGAAATGTCAGAACAAGGAGAATTTTGTGATTTTCCATGTAAAAGTCGTTTGATGAATGAATGCCGCAAATTATTTCAAAGATTAAAGACGATCTTAAAGCAGTCTGTTAAATCTAATGTTTGGTGTGGCACCCTGTATATTTACCTTGCAATACTACTGTTACCCTCAATCCCTAGTATCTGCTTATACCCTCCATGGCTGAGAACACGCAGTAAGGTTTGTGCTAGAAAAAGGGAACCATACAGGGTTACCATCAAAAGATGAGACTTCAGTGACGATTGTACGGAATGTTAACTGTCTAGTTTCTTATATCCCTGATTCACTGCAAATGTGAATTTGTTTATTTCCCTGCCAAATCATTTAATAAACCATTGCAAGGTTATATTCAGACCTATTTTAACATTGGGATCATCTACTTAAGGACTTTAAGTCGTCTTTACAGTATAATCCTGTATAAAACCCATAAAAGGGATTATTATCTAAATTTTAAGTAAACCCTTCATTGAACAAGTGCCAAGAATAATTCAAATTAGATTCCTATTATGGAACCTTTAGGCATGATAATATAAATATTTTCAGTTTTATATCCGAGATAGAAACGGCTTTTCTAGAGAGGCAATAATAGGCTTATAGAGTACAGAATGCACCAACGCGTGATAAAAAGAAGAGATTACTCATTCAAAATTAAACAGTTTTAATTTAGGATTACAATCCCTTTAACAAAGATCAATTTGAAGATTCTAGAATTAATTTGAACCTTCTGAAGTTTTGAAAATTATAAAAGATGTAGTTTTGGTCAGATTATATTTTTAAATAGGATCAAGTAATTAGAATTTTACGCGCGAATTAATTTTTCATTTTTAATAGTTGAAATCCCCCAAACATGTCTCCCGGCCAAACGCAAAAACTAAGAAGAAATATAAATCTTAAAAAATTAAAAAATTTTGCAATTTTAATTAATAAGTTTAGTAATATTTAATGTCACAGAAAAGAGTGAAACGATTTATTAAAAAATACATAATAATGGAAAAGAAGGGGAGCAGAAAAATAACAGTGGGGGGGGGGGGGTTTATATAAAAAAAATTTCGATAAATACCTGTCAGACAAACCAAGTCCTGTTCTTCTAGCGTCATAACGGTATGAATTCGAACCTGGAAATAGTTTCAGATAAATGCCAAATAAAGACGACATTCAAAACTAGGTTTAATCAATATTCATATACAGGGTTTCTCACAAAGGATAAGACTTCAAAGACGAATGTTCAGTACGTTTCCTTGCATTTTGTGTTACTTGTAGACGAAAACTGGCTTGTTTCTGTGCTTAATAATTTAGTAATTTATCAAAATATTCAATTGAGTGCAGAAACCAAAAATCAAGCTTCAAATTGTCATATTTTGAAAGTTTTTGGTCTTCTTTACAGTCACTGCCTTAAATAGTAAACCTATTATAGGATTTTTAGCTGTGCATTACCGTCTTTATGCGCAGGATTGACATTTATTAATGAAAATGCACTAATTCTAACATAAAAATCCACGATTTTTTTTTTGCAGAGTTCGATGAAAATGATAATAAACAATTAATGAACGGAAAAGAGGGGCGCGAAGAACAGCCTAGTTTATAAAAATTCAATATTACCTGGCCTCCTTCGCATGGATCTGAAATACCAGCACTACCGGGCAGGAAGAAACCAGCTGACAGCAGCTGCAGGACCCGCCGGTACGACTGTATCAAATAAAAATAAGAAAATGATTAAGAGAGAAATTAAAAACTTTGAACTGAGCTGGGAACTTTAGAATGGTGGATATCAGGATTAATGCTTAATCCACTCTTTTTCTTAATCTCCAGATTAAATAGTGCTTATACTCCTCATGATTAATTAACAGATCGGGATTAAGGATATCACATTCTAAAGTTTTCAGCTCTGAAAACTTTTGTTCAATTTGACTAGTTTATCCCATTTAAATAATTTAAGAAAAATTTGAAAAACTACACTTACAGCATTTATCAATTTAAATTCGTCCTACCGATGAAATATGATTGCTTTAAACATGATTGCGAGAAATATGATTGCTGGAAATATAATTGCTCGAAATCAGATTGCTAACCTGTGTAAGAGGAAGAGCTTGTCTGCCTGGATTATTAAGAATTGCATAATGAGCAATCAGATCCAGCATCCAAGGGGTTAAAGGAGCAAATCCTGGATAATAATAACAATGATAATAACAAAAATAATAATAACAAATATTTTCATGTAAAACAATCTGAATTTTTTTGTTTTTAAAGTAAACGAAACAATTCCATTTCCATCTGAGGAGTGTGGAACACCGCCTGATCATATGATTTATTACATGTTTGCTGACCGGTCCACCAATGAAAAGAATGTCTTTAAATTTGTTCTTTCTATTACATTTGGTTTTATCAGTAAAATTAAACACACGTTTTACGTTTTGCGTTTTTCGATCTATTTTTCTTCCTGTCTAAGGTATACAATAATCAAAAAGATTATTGTAAAATCTTAAAAAATACATCACGAACATATCTCAACGAAACATATCTAAACAATACATATGAAAACAGAACATATCCAACAACTAAATATATGAAAACTAGACATATGNTGAAGCGTCAGTTAAGTTTCTCATCTCATCCTAGTGACACTGAACTGGTTTTACAACATATGCAAAGTTTGCGTATATTAAACAAAAACTGTTAAACCGAGCCAACACAAATTACATCATTGCGTAAGTTTTACATATTTTTTCCACTAAAATTCAAAGTTTTTAAATCGTTCTAAAATTAGACCAAAATTATGACTGAAATACTTAACTGCCCAAAGAATTATTAAATTATTTAATTAATAATATATTTTTTCATTATTCCAATTGAGGATTAAAGGGAGTGTTTACGTAATTTATAAGTGAGCCTGCAATTTAAGAGTTACTAGACATATGAAAACAGAACATATCCAACAACTAAATATATGAAAACAGAACATATGAAAACAGAACATATCCAACAACTAAATATATGAAAACAGAATATATGAAAACAAAGTATATCAAAAAACAACATATCAATACACAAAACAGATGAATATACGAAGCATATCAAATACACAATATATCAAATCACAACATATCAAACCAAACTAAAGTTGTATTCGAGTTGAGCAAATTTTAAGACTAATTCTTTCTATACAATGTGTTAATAACTAAATCAGAGAGTTTCAATAAAAAATATCACAAATTAACTGAATGTAAAAGTGAAAGCACGTAAACAACTTATGTTCCCTCTCAAAAAACCTTTTTTTGTATTTTGATTTTTTCTTGGACTGGATATGTTTGTATTTTGATTTTTACGGTAGTTTTTCCGTCATTTTCTAATGTTTGATATGTTTTGTATGTGCTCCGGTATTTACCTGCAAACCGTTTCCTGAGATCATGCAGTAGTCTAACCAGGTTCTTTATAGTCGGCTGCTGGGCGCTTTCTTCAAACCATCTTAATTTTTCATTCAGGGTTTTAGTCAAAAACAATAATTTTCCCCACAAGTTTAGAATATATTTGTTAAATTTATTAAAAGTGTTTTTCGCCAAGCTGTGAAAAAAAATATTTAAAAAAAATTATTTTTGGGGAAAATAGATGAATTTTAGGTATAAAGTATCAATTACAACGAAAAACTTTTCCCCAATTTTCATTTTTAAAATCATCAATCGTTAAATTTGGCTTCTGATTTAGTTGAACCACAACTCTTCTACATTAAATTGCTCAAAAAAAGGTGGTTTAACTAAGTCGACGTAGTTTGAATACTTCTTGATATATATCAAATCTGGTCTCAGCCTTCAAAGCGTGAAGTATAGTTCATATCAATTCAAAATTTGAATAAGAAAATTATCTAACAATGGACTTATAACGGGTGAGCAATGTGCATAAACTATGTTCTTATAAAAGCTGAACTGTGATGTTCCCATGACTCAATCAGTTTATTGGTATAAGGTTACAATATGTACTACTTTGGTTCAAGTATCATCAGAATCAAACTTTGTTCTGATAGTCTTCTTTGTATGCTTGTTCTCTTCCTTTGCTGATGACAACTGCCAAGCGCCTAGGGATTGACGGAATCATTCTACATAAAGCCATGTCACATGTCCCAATGTACCAATATAAAACATCTGAGTAATCATCAGGAAGAGGTTGGATGAGGAGAAAATCACAAACCTCAACTCAAGCTTTGCATCAAGAAGATTTGAAGAGAACTTGACAGTGACAAGTTGTTATGTATAAAAATCATTGAGTCAATCCCTATGCGCCTGGTAGCTGACATCACTGCAAGGGAGGAAAACAAGTATACAAAGAAGACTATCAAAACAAAGTTTGATTCTGATGAAACTTGAACCAAAGTAATACATATATATATATACCTTATACCAGTAAACTGCTTATGAGATGTAATCATCATAGTCAAGCTTTTATATATTCAAAAGCCCTGATTTTTTTTTTGCTTAATCTGTGGTACAATTTGCCTTTCAAGGGACCGTTCACTTATTTGGGTAATTTCAGGGTAAACTGAACTGACTATTCGCTCTTGATTGGTAATAGTCTTACTTTTCAAAGACAACTGTGGCCGGAGAAAAAGCCGATTTTTCGTTCAGAATTCGAGCGCAAAGGGACGGTCCCTCTCTATAGACACTAATTGATGTTTTTTTTCAGTATGTTGTGAATCAAAATAAATTTCGAATATATTTAATACGAAAAACGTTAATTTCTTGCTAACTCAAATATCAAAAGTTTTAATATTTTAGTACATAATAACGAACACATAATGACATTAAAATATGATAAATTTAAATGTTATTGGGCTGCTGTTACTGAAAAAACATCAAATAGTGTCTATAGAGAGGGACCGTCCCTTTCCGCTCAAATTCTGAACGAAAAATCGGCTTTTTCTCCGGTCACAGTTGTCTTTGAAAAGTAAGACTATTACCAATCAAGAGCGAATAGGCAGTTCAGTTTACCCTGAAATTACCCAAATAAGTGAACGGTCCCTTTAAACTATAACTAGAAAATTACCCAAAACTTTTCAGAGATAAATCAGCGACATTTCTTCAAAAAAAGGACGACATATTTCGACAATATTCTGGTGTTTACTGTATAATAACAATGCTCTACCTTGAATGTCTGACTGCAGCATGAGCTGACTGCAATAGCTTAGCGTCAATATGTAGGGTTGGTTCAATCTTCTTTAGGTTAGGAGGGATAGTAGTTACCAGGATACGAGCTTAAGAAAACAAAATCATGAGCCGAAAAGCTTAGCGTCAATAACAAAATTAAATCAGACAATGCAATAGTCAAACTCAAAACTATCATGAAAACTTTTTTAACAATGTAGATTATTCTTCAGGGTTTAAGTGCTAAGCCAGGGTTTGAAGTTTGGAAAAAGAGGCAAAATATGTTGGTTGGCCTACCACCAGGAGCGTATTCAGAAATTTGTCCAGGGGGGGCTTACATTTTTTTCTTCCCAGGGGGGGGCCTCATCACCCGTTGGGATATGAAAACCCCCTGAAATCAATAGAGTTCACTGGTCAAGGGGGGGGGGGCTTAGCCCCAATAGCCCCCCCTGAATAAGCCTCTGCCTAGCACTAACTCATTAAATCAGTGATTTTGAAAGAAATTTTGAAGCGTCGACTTCTGATTGGTGGACGATGTATTTAAAAGAGCTCTCTTATTGGCTGAATTCTGGAGATCGGAGAAAACCAACCAATGACACTTCAAAGTCAATTCAAATAAAGAGGTATCCGATAACTTGAATTTTGACAGACTGAATGTTTTATAAACCAAAGACTTTGCTAATAATAAAGACGATAAATCTAATATAGAGAGTAAAATCTAATATAGAGAGTAAAATCTAATATAGAGTAAAATCTAATAAAGAGTAAAATCTAATATAGAGAGTAAAATCTAATATAGAGAGTAAAATCTAATATAGAGTAAAATCTAATATAGAGAGTAAAATCTAATATAGAGAGTAAAATGCGAGAAGCATTTTGTAAATATTTGTGTATTTTTACTATTTCTACATAACACAGATTTTACACAAGATTTGTAACGTTTTTGTTCAATAAAAGTTTGAAAGAGAGAGAAATGAAGACGATAAATTAGAAATTTATCTAACTATTGTACATGTACACCTGTACAGTGTACAGCTGTATTTTGACATCATTGGTTATTTGGGTTGCGCGAGGGTCTAACGATCGACATTAAAACCTTAGTTATTTAACACAATTGTGAATGTTTGTGTTAAAAGTTAACTAAAATTAATAATATGAATTTATATTTTGAAATTGTTGGATATGAGGATATGCGTAGAATTTGCGTATATTTTCTGATGCGCTATCTTTAATAAGCAAAATCTTTGATATGAACAGATATAAAAGCTGACCTCTGTTTTATTGAATCTTAAAGAATAAAAGATCTCGTTTCAGAGCGTTGTAAAAGAATATCACCTGTAGCCTCAGTATTGGAAAGATCGAACCCACGCTCATTTGGGAGCATCGTTAAAACCTCTTTAGGCTCCTTAACTTTCAATGACTCCCAAATCTGAAATAAAAATAAATAAAAAAGTGAAATTTGTCAGATTTAAAAAGGAGTTAGTATGACCAACAGGAAAGTTAAGATAGATAAAGTTGGTCAGAGCTGAAAACTTTAGAATGGTGGATATCGAGATCAATGCTTGATCTCCTCTTGATATTAATCTCCAAATTAATTAACCGATCGGGATTAAGGATATCCCATTCTAAAGTTTTCAGCTCTGAGTATTGGTCAGGGGATATATAAAGTTGGTCAGTGGGAAAAAAAGGTTGTCAGTCGGAAATAAAGTTGTTCAGTGGGAAAATAAAGTTGGTCAGAGGATTAAAAAAAAGGTTGTCAGCGGGTATATAAAGTTGGTCAGTGGGAAAATAAAGTTGGTCAGCGGGTATATAAAGTTGGTTAGTGGGAAAATAAAGTTGGCCAAAAGGTAAAAAAGGTTGTCAGCGGGAATATAAAGTTGGTCAGTGGGAAAATAAAGTTGGTCAAAGGGTAAAAAAAGGTTGTCAATTGGTATATAAAGTTGGTCAGTGGGAAAATAAAGTTGGTCAGAGGGTAAAAAAAGGTTGTCAATCGGTAAATAAAGTTGGTCAGTGGGAAAATAAAGTTGGTCAGAGAGTAAAAAAAGGTAGTCAGCCGGTATATAAAGTTGGTCAGAGGGAACATTAATCTAGTCAGCCGGTAAATTAAGTTTGAATTAATAAGACTTTGCCCTGGATGAAGCGGGCTTATAATTGTAATTAAAGGGACTCTAAGGTTAATTTAAAGTGACCCTTCATGCACAGATCATGCAAAGATAGCATCGCCTAATTTACAAGCGTACCCTTGAAATCTTAATATAATCAAAATTATGGAAGATACCATCGTGTTTCTGACTTAATAATTGTTCATTGCTGTTCCTTACAAACAAGAAATGCGCAAGTCATTTTTGCAGAGAAACCGCAAATGAAAATAAACAAAACATGGTTATCTAAATCCTACTTGATCAGACAAAGCTTACAAGGTCACCGTTGTAAATCAGGCATTGCCATCTTTTCTTGAAAGAACACTTGCTGTCCCTTTGACGGCCACAATATACCTTGTTCCCTAGAGCCTCTACAGCCTCCTTGGTTGGAAGAGTCTTGAGGACAACTACGAGGTCGGCCACGTTGTTCCCAGTCGTCATTGTTCCCTTCTTAAAGGAACCAACCTGTCTCACTTCCTCAATTTGCTAAAAAAAATATATATAATAAATAAGGTTTAAATTTTTTATGTTTTTTTTTAGGATACATCACACCAATCCCACTGTCATCTTGCCAGGCTACATTTATTGCATAAAACGTGCTGGGTCGACACTGCGCTAGGTAGCCTGACTGGACAGTGCGACAGACTGCATATACAGTACGTTTTGTACCGGCATGGATTATGCAGTTTTTGGATCCTTTTCTCAGCATTACTACACTGAATCCCAGATATTTGAATACATAGACCCTCATAAGTTTTTTGATAATTCTAAAAAACTTCTTTTACATTTTTTAATTCAAGGTAAATTAATAGCCCTGAAATATGAATGCAATTGATATAATAATATTAAACTCATTTTTCCGCGGCATTTGATCTTAAATATGTAATACGACATTATAAACTCTTGCTATGTATTCATATATCTGGGATTCACTGTATTCCACCTCAAGAATTGAGAAGGATGTGCAATACATCGAAACATGTTTTAAAAAATTTAAGTAACATAAATTTTTTAAGCCGTCTTAAACAATAAGTGAATATTTATAATTAACACTTTTTTCCCTTATTTTTTCTTTTCTGAAAAAAACCCAACTATTTTTCTTCATCGCTTGAAGTCAGCATCAAAATTTATGATTGAATATTATATAATTTGAGTATAAAATACAAATTTTATATGGAAGTTTGTACAAGAAAACTTTGAAAAAATACGTTTCGAACAAGAATGTTTTCTTAAAAAATTAAGTAAATTTAAGTAAGTTCAAAACTCAATGTTAATAAAGTAAGAAAAATAAGTGAAAAAAGATTCTTTTTTAACTGATGGTTCCGTCTGAAAAGCTAGGAACGTTCTCAACTTCCTATCCATTTGTATCTACTCCGTGTTCAGAAATAAATATGTTTATTGATACAGGGGAAATTAGTTCCAAAACTAACAGTGTTAGAAATGGGCCAAATCTGCAACGTTATCTTTTCAAGCGTTTATATCCCAAGAACCCAGTCTTTCAATTTGTGCCTATTTCTATCACTCGTGTTAAAAATGGGCCAAGTGTTAGTTTTGGAACTAAGGTCTTCTGTAGTATGCCTAAATGAGTAAATATCTAAGAAATGAAATGAAATGAAAAAAATAGTGAAAGATTAAAAAGAGTTAAATGCCCGAATTATAACGGTATCCTTTGAACCTGTGCCTAATTCTGACTTATCCTATGAAAAATCAGACCTCATAAATTTAATTAATATTTGCCTCCGATATTAAGAAAAAAATATATATCGCTAAAAATCGTGATAATTTGATGTTTAAGAATTAAGTTTATAAGCAGTGATTATCAGTAGAAAATATCAATATTAAGGATATTGAATTTTCCTAAAGAAAATAATTTTCTTTATTTATTTTCATCAAGAACATTTTTGCTTTTTAATGACATTTTTTCCTTTCATTTGAAATAGTTTCTCTTGGAGATATGGAAGGGGGGGGGGAACTTTTTAAATCTTTTTAAGTTTGTGCTATTTTCCTAAAAGTTTAAGATATTGAATCTGCAAAAAATGAAATATTTTAGTGTTTACAACCTTGACCCCAGAGTGTCATCATAAAATGAAACACATGTCAAATTATGTACTTAATAATACTAAAACAATATAGAAAACACTTCTAAGAATGTCTCTCCCCACCACCGAGAATTCCAAAAAATTTGTGAATATGTAAAGTTTCAGTTTCGTTTTGTAGATTTCGTTATAAAACTTCAAATGGTTCTAGAAATCCAGAAGTCCCAAGTGAATTGAGAAAAGAAGCTTAACAAATGTTTTAATATATTACATATTTTTCAATTAAGATCCTGCCCCAAAAAAATAAATTAAAACTATTTAAACATACTTTTAACATCAGGGTTAGTGTGTGTGTGTGGGGGGGCGGGGGGCCAAATGATAACTAGAAAAATGAAGAAAAAAAACATCCCTGTCAAATTAGGAATGAATGAATGGTATTAATCCTTCCTTGTTGAATGAAAATTATAATATTCGCCTAATGTAGGATAAACGTACCACTTTCAGGCAAAATACCACTTCACGTTAACAATAGAATAATAAGCTTAATAAATAACCGGAGAAAAACATAAGATTTTATCCCAAGAGAAAATATTTTAGAATCCCCCACCTCCATGCAAGGCGAATTTTAAAATATATATACATTATTATATTTTAGTCAAAAACGTTTAGAACCTTTTGATTTGAAATTAAACATAGCATACTTAGAAAAAAAACATTAATATCTAGGGTTTTTAAAATACTTAGTACAATGTTAATTGTATGAAGTTACGCATTCATCCCCCCCCCCCCCCCCCCCCCCCTTAATTTCTTTGTTGGAGTTGCCGTTTACTTTGAGCCCAAGATCTTTCTTAAAATCAAATATATTAGTTACTATCTGTTTACGTTATGAATCCCTATCTGTCTCCATGCCCAACCTTCGATTCATGCTGCACTGATTTTCTCTTTAGTTTTCTTTTAGTGTATGTGTTTTTTTTAAATGCTATAATTTAATTAAAGAATTTGGTTAACAGGGGGGCTCAGCTAAAACAGTCCTAGACTATTGAGTCCGCCTGCTGCGGAAAATAATATTTTACATATTGTGATTTTTAAAAATTAATTCGTAATATTGTTTTTTTTTCTGCAGAAATAAATGATTTGATTTTGAAGTTGTGGCAGCAATAAAAACGTAAAAGCAAAAAAACTGAAATGCGCTAAAGTTTACATTTGCATTAAATCCGAAAATTCTCGCAAGATGTAGTTCCGAATTAAACAATTGGGTAGGATAAACGGTCGTAAAGAAGGGCGGAAAATGGAGATAGGATGATCTTTTAGCAAACGCTTATCACTGAAACTTTGCTATCTTTTAAACATTAGCATAGTCATAGGTATTTGCCAACTGATAATTGCAAATTTATACCTCCCCCACAGAAATACACCACTCCCCCACCTGGTGCTAACCTCCCCCTACAGAAATACATCCCCCCCCCCACCTGGTGCCAATAGGCATCACTTACAAACCAGAAGAAGGAAACGATTGTATCTTTAAGATGCAAGCAGGGAATTAAGATATTTTGAAATTGTAACTAAAATATGCTTTAATTTACAAATGAGATTAAAATTAGAAGACTGAGAAGTGCCAATGGAACCATACAGAGTTAGAAGTGCTAATGACATTAGAGCGAGTATTAAGTAACAATGGAACTAGAAAAAGTTAGAAGTGGCAATACAACTTTACAGAGTGCCAACGAAAGTAAAAATAAATAAAAAATATGCAACTTGAAAAGTACATATGATACACTAAAGTGTTATTAGTAGCAATGAAAATAGAAAGAGTTTCAAGTGACAATGAAACTAAATAAGAGTTAGAAATGGCAACGAAACTACTAAACAAGAAAGGGTTAGAAGTGGCAAGGAAACTAAAAATGTTGGAAGTGACAATGACACTAGAAAGAATTGGAAGTGGCAATTAACCCTTAAGTGAAAATTGGCAATGAAACAAAAAAAGAGATAAGTGACAATGAAACTAAAGAGTTAGGAATGGCAATGAAACTAAAAAAGTGAGAGGTGGCAATGGAAAAAAATGGAGAGGTGGCAATGAAACTGAAGAGTTATAAGTAGCAAAGAAACTTAAAAGTGAAAATTAGCAATAAAATCAAAAAAAAGTGAGAAGTGACAAAGATATTAGAAAAAGTTAGAAGTTTCAATTGAATTAAAAAGAGTTAGAAGTGCCAAATGAACTAAAAAGAGTTATAAGTGACAATGAAACTAAAAAAGTTAAAAGTGCCAATGGAATAAAAAAGAGTTATCAGTACCAATGGAACTAAAAAGTTATAAGGGACAATGAAATTAAAAAAGTGAGAAGTGGCAATGAAACTAAACAAGTGAGAAGTGACAATGAAACTAAAAAAGTGAAAAGTGACAATAAATATAAAATAGTTAGAAGTGGCAATGAAACTAAAAAAGAGTTGAGGGCGGAACCCCTAAAAAAAGGTTGTGTGGGCGTAACCCCCCTCCAATCCACTTAATCTTAAACATCAAGCATCATACTCATCTAACAGGTGTATCTTTTACCGCACAGGGATGTACATGCATCCTTAAAGTTAAAAAGTGGCTAAACCCTTTAACATAAATTTGTTAATAAAACGATTTTCTAACTTAGCCCCGTATTAAAAGGGAAAATGCTTTCAATTTACAGACCTGAGAAAAAGTTGGTCGCAATTAACATGGGATTAGAAAGAAAGTTTTTTTTGTTTAATTTTTGTTTAAGAAATATTTTATAAATCTATATAAAGGAATGTGTGTATATTTTAAAAAGGGTAGGATGATTTAAAAAATTATACCAATTTTAATAGGAACAGAACCTGCATGAACAGACTTAGAACCCTAAGCCTTTTGCACCTTATTTGGGGACAGGGTGGGGTGGTGGTGGTGGTTGGGGGCTGTGGGTCCCACATTCTGTCATCGTGGTAATATTACAGTAATTATATCTGTTTACAAAATGTTTACTTATGTATGTTATTCAAACCAGAGAGAGAATAATAAACATCATAATAAAGTTAATAGAAAAGAAGCAGAGGAATGTATATTATATATACAGGGTTAGAAGAAACATTTGAAAATACAAAATGTTAAATATTTAGATTTTTTATATTTGTGAGAAATTTCTAAACTTCGTTTCATAATTTCGAACAATGAGTTTTAAGAAGTTATAAAATACACAATTCATAAAATATAAGGGGTCCATTCTAAAGATATGCATAAAAAAAATATTGCTAAAGCTAAATTTTAAAATATTTTTATCAAGAACTGGAAAGTGTGAACATAAAAACGAGCAAGTCAAATTATGAATAATTTGATGACTGAAAAATAATATTGAGGCCAAAACTTGTGAATCCAGGGATTGAGCAGTCATTGGACTAAACTAATCCCTTTCATATATCCCGAAGTGGTCTTACCCTTCCGAGGACAATA